ACGTGATATTTGGCGTTCGTTGATTTTCGTCGTTGTGATGTTGTGAATCATTATTATATCATTTTTCGTACAACATAATACAAATTTAAACAGTTTGACCGGAACCTGATTCCGAATATTTTGTTTATTTAAACAACATTTAATTATTTCAAAAAAAAATACTTTTAGATATATTCTAGCAATATATTTTAAAACTCGGTTTACTTTTTTTTTTTGATAAAGAATGTCAAAACTCAATAAAGATATTCTTTTCTTAATATTTGAAGAATTACAAAATGATTCAAAATCCCTCTTTTCAAGTCTAATGGTTAATAGACTTTGGTGTGAAGCTGTGGTTCCAATTTTATGGAGGAATCCTTGGAACTATAATGAAATTAATTATTGTAATAAAAGTTATTTATTTGTCATTATTGCTTGCTATTTATTTGATGAAATTAAGGAATTCATAACAAATCAAAGTATCCAATTACCTTTAGCTTTCCACCAATCATTCTTGTTTGATTATTTATCTTTTTGTAGAAGTATCAAAGTTTTCACTATTAATAATATAATTTCTATCGGGTCATCTTTAGCTAATAATCAATTTTATATGCAACAAAATTTTTATTATTTCTTCATGAAAAAATGCTCAGAATTGAAATATTTTGATATGAGATTAATTAAACATCAAATATTTGATTTTCCAGAAGCTAAGGCACGTTTTGAATCACTTTGTGAATTAGAATGTGATACATCTACTTTTTATTCGTACTTTTATAAATTGTCACGTTTTTGTCAACATATGCAGAGACTCATCATTGATAATACAGTCACTAAACCTAACGATAGAATTGTTAAATTAATCGAGGTTCAAGAAGAATTTAAAGTATTTTGAATGGTTAGATGGTTTTAGCAATGAATTTTTTCCACGGTTTTCATGAAATCCTTATGAAAATTTCTTCTTGCACTAGAAGCAAAGGCAGATAGTATCGAACATCTTGGATTAATCTTCAAACGTAAAGGTAACTCCAACTCCACTTACTGCAAAAGATACTTCCAAAATTTCATAGACGTTGATTATTGAAGATAAATATCATTTTTTTACAGAAATACAATTGAATGGTTCGAATTTTTATGATCTTGAGATTCTTAAAATAGAGTGGAATAAGTTAAATGTAATTTCTAGTATCGTTGAAAATAATGGAGGACGTCTTAAGAACATTTTGTTTAATTCCAATATTGTTATCGGATATGAAAATAATAGTAGTAGCTTTAATGAAAATTCTCTCAAATTTATTCGTAATATTTATGAAAATTGTCCATCAATTGAATATTTGTCAATTATTATTTCACCTTCAAAGGAACATTTCAATGAATTTGAAAAATTACTAAAAGTTTGTAAAAATTTGAAGTCATTATCCCGACGTTTTTTGTATAATTAATAAAAAAAAAACGTTACAAACCGTTTTTTTTACTTGAAATATTCATAAAACTTCGGGTAACCCGAGTTGCCCGAAGTGACACGAATACTTTCGGGTCAAATGGGTCAGGTCGGGTCAGACCGGTTTACCCGACCCGATCTGACCTGAAAAAAAATTTCGGTTCGGGTTAACCAGGTAACCCGACCCGACCCGACCCGTGCGGAGCTCTAAAAATACCTATATCTTTGCTAATATTTGTATCTTGTGAAAAAACTTGATGTTACCTTTGTGATTATTCTTGAAACTTTATGCATTTTACTTGTAAATCCGTATGTGCTTTTTTTGCCTGTCACTAAAATATTTCTAATAAAGTAACTAACTACGTTATGAAATAATTGCTCAAAATTAGGTTTTGTCCAATATAACTTCATTTTTCTTCGTTAATGACTCTCTTTGTATATACGTATTTGTCTTTTTCTTAAATTTTTGATTAAAGTGATTAAGTGATCGACAGGAAAGATTTTCCTTTTTTTCCGGAGTGCAAAATTTATTTATCAATCAAAACCAAATTAAGTAAGTTAATTTGAATATCAAAATGTCAATCTTCACTATTTTTAGTCCGTGGCGTTTTTATTACAACAATAAATATTTGCACTTCGAACTTTGTCAATGGTATTCCTTGTTTTATTTTTAAAAAATTACTTGGAAGAAAAATTAGAATGTCAAGTAGTAATATAAAGGAAGAAGCCTTTTATTTATGTCAAAAAGCAGCAGAAAATGGTGATGAAAAAGCAATGTTTAATTTAGCCACATATTATGAAAATGGAGAAGGAATAGAAAAGGATTTAGAAAAAACCTTTTACTGGTACCAAAAAGCAGCAGAAAATTTTGAAAAAAATGCAATGAATAATTTAGCCTGTTGTTATAAAAATGGAGAAGGTACAGAAAAGAATTTAGAAAAAGCTGCTTACTGGTATCAAAAAGCTGCAGAAAATGGTATTGAAATAGCAATGTTTAATCTTGCTATTTGTTATTACAAAGGAGAAGGAATAGAAAAGAATTTAAAAAAAGCTTTTCACTGGTATCAAAAAGCAGCAGAAAATGATATTGAAGAAGCTATGTTTGATTTAGCCAATTGTTATTATGATGGAATAGGAACAGAAAAGAATTTAGAAAATGCTTTTCACTGGTTTCAAAAAGCAGCAGAAAATGATAATATTAATGCTATGTATAATTTAGCAAATTGTTATTATAATGGAGAAGGAACAGAAAAAAATTTAGAAAAAGCTGTATACTGGTATCAAAAAGCAGCGGAAAATGGTAATGGAAGCGCAATGTATAATTTAGCCATTTGTTATTATAATGGAGAAGGAATAGAAAAGAATTCAGAAAAAGCTTTTTACTGGTATCAAAAAGCAGCAGAAAATGGTGATGAAGTAGCAATATCCAATTTACCTAATTTTTATTATAAAGGAGAAGAAATAGAAAAGAATTTAGAAAAAGCCTTTTACTGGTACCGGAAAGCAGCAGAAAATGGTGATAAAGATGCAATGTATAATTTAGCCATTTGTTATTACAATGGAGAGGGAACAGAAAAAAATTTAGAAGAAGCCTTTTGTTGGTTTCAAAAAGCAGCAGAAAATAGTAATGAAGTAGCAATGTTCAATTTAGCCACTTTTTATTACAAAGGAGAAGGATTAGAAAAGAATTTAGAAAAAGCCTTTTACTGGTTTCAAAAAGCAGCAAAAAATGGTAATAAAAGTGCAATGTATAATTTAGCCATTTGTTATTACAAAGAAGAAGGAACAGAAAATAATTTAGAAAATGCCTTTTATTGGTTTCAAAAAGCAGCAGAAAAAGATTATGTTAAGGCTATGAATAATTTAGCTAATTGTTATTATAATGGAATAGGAACAAAAAAGGATTTAGAAAAAGCTGTTCACTGGTATCAAAAAGCAATAGATAATGGTGATGAAAACTCAATGAATAATTTAGCCATTTGTTATTACAATGGAGAAGGAATAGAAAAGAATTCAGAAAAAGCTTTTTACTGGTATCAAAAAGCAGCAGAAAATGGTAATAAAGTAGCAATATTCAATTTAGCCAATTTTTATTACAATGGAGAGGGAACAGAAAAGAATTTAGAAAAATCCTTTTACTTGTTTCAAAAAGCAGCAGAAAATGGTAACGATGCAGCAATGATCAATTTAGCCAATTTTTATTACAATGGAGAGGGAACAGAAAAGAATTTAGAAAAATCCTTTTATTGGTATCAAAAAGCAACAGATAATGGTAATGAAGAAGCAATGATCAATTTAGCCAATTTTTATTACAATGGAGAGGGAACAGAAAAGAATTTAGAAAAAGCCTTTTATTGGTATCAAAAAGCAGCAGAAAATGGTATTGAAGTAGCAATGATCAATTTAGCCAATTTTTATTGTAATGGAGAAGGAACAGAAAAGAATTTAGAAAAATCCTTTTACTGGTATCAAAAAGCAGCAGAAAATGGTAATAAAAGTGCAATGTATAATTTAGCCATTTGTTATTACAATGGAGAAGGAACAGAAAATAATTTAGAAAATGCCTTTCATTGGTATCAAAAATCAGCAGAAAATGGCTATACTAATGCAATGAATAATTTAGCTTTTTGTTATGAAAATGGAAAAGGAACAAAAAAGAATTTAGAAAAAGCTTTTCATTGGTATCAAAAAGCAGTAGAAAATGGTAATGAAGCAGTGATATTCAATTTAGCCAAATGTTATAAAAATGGAATAGGAGTAGAANGAAAAAGCCTTTTACTGGTATCAAAAAGCAGCAGAAAATGGTAATGAAAAAGCAATGATTCATTTAGCCGTTTGTTATCAAAAAGGAGGAGGAACAGAAAAAAATTTAGAAAAAGCCTTTTGTTGGTTTCAAAAAGCAGCAGAAAATGATATCGAATCAGCAATGTTTGATTTAGCTGTTTGTTATAAAAATGGAGAAGGAACAGAAGTGAATTTAGAAAAAGCCTTTTATTGGTATCAAAAAGCAGCAGAAAATGGTAATGAAATAGCAATGTATAATTTAGCCATTTGTTATGAAAATGGAAAGGGAACGGAAAAAAATTTAGAAAATGCCTTTCACTTATACCAAAAAGCAGCAGAAAAAGATTATATTAATGCTATATATAATTTAGCCATTTGTTATTATAATGGAAAAGGAACAGAAAAGAATTTAGAAACAGCCTTTTGTTGGTTTCAAAAAGCAGCAGAAAATGGCATTGAATTAGCAATGTTTAATTTAGCTGCATGTTATAAAAATGGAAATGGAACAGAAAAGAACTTAGAAAAAGCCTTTTATTGGTATCAAAAAGCAGCAGAAAGCGATAAAGAAAGTTTTAAAAATAAAGATGAAATATGTAATGAATGTAAACAACCATATTTTGATTACCAATGGTGTCAACAATGTAATTCAAAACGATTTCAGCAAGATTTTTCGAATTGGACTAGCGGAAATGAATTTATTGATAACTTTATTCAAGAAGCACAACTAAAGGCTAAAAATAGTTACGAAGTTTTAGAGTGGATACCTTATAATAAATTGTTAAATATTAATTATCATGATAAAGGGGGATTTGGTGAAATTCATAAGGCTATCTGGTTAGATGGACCTATTGATAGTTGGAATTTTGATAAACAACAATGGAATAGATGGAATTTTCAAACAGGTTATAAGGTTGTTCTTAAAATACTTAATAATTCATCAGGTTTAAATAATAAATTTCTAGATGAGGTATAGTAATCATATTTAATAACAATTTTTTTTTGTTTTACAGAAATTTAATAATTTTTTAATTCTTTGTGTAGTGGAAATATCATTATAATTGTCAGAAAAAATCATTTTCAAAATTTATTCAATTCTTTGGAATTACCCAACATCCACATAATTTAAATTATATAATAGTAATGAGTTATGCAAAAAAAGGAAATTTGAGAAAATGTTTATCTGATATAATTAAATTTAAGTGGCAAGACAAGTTACAATTATTAAAACAAATTATATTAGGACTCAAAGTAATTCATGAATCAAATTTAACTCATGGTGATTTTCATGATGGTAATATTTTAATATCAGATAACCATAATGAGGTATTTATTATTGATTTAGGATTATGCAAACCTATAAGTGATTTGCAAGAAGAAGTTAATGAAGTTTATGGAGTTTTACCTTTTATGGCACCTGAAATATTAAGAAATTATCCTTATACTTTAGCAAGTGATATTTATAGTTTTTCAATGATAATGTGGGAATTTACATCAGGTATTCCCCCATTTAATCATGAAATGCATGATCATTATCTTGCTGTAAATATTTGTAAAGGAGAACGTCCTAAACTTGCAGAAGATACTCCAAAATGTTATGTAGATTTAATGAAAAAATGTTGGGATTCAGATCCAAAAAATAGACCAAATATACTAGAGCTTGAATATGAAATATCTGAATGGATTAGATGTATTAATGAATATTATAAATTAAACAATGATGGAAATTATATATATGAAGTTACTAATAGTATTATTGATGATAAATTAAAAAATAATATGTTTGAATTTATAGAAGCAGATATTGCTAGTAGGCAACAAAATAGCACTGAAAGAATTTTATATGACAACAATGCTTTAGTACAAGAACAAGCTAATATTTCTAGTATTATACAATCTCATTCACAAACATATTATACAAGTCGTAAACTTACTGAAATTTTATTTAAGAAAGACTCTGAATATTTGGAGTACAGGATTTAATTTATAATAATTAATTCTATTATTTATTTTTATTTGCTGGATTATTTATTATAGAGAATATTATACTGTGTACTTTTATTGATTCTACAATAAAGCAAACATTATTATATACAAGTATTAATATTTATATTTATATTTACAATTTGTTTAGCAAGTATTATATAATTTATTATTAAATTTCTATATTTATAATTAACAATTAGGATTAAGGAGGCAAAATTTTTACTTTGTGAACAAAATTGTTTTATCTATAGAATTACTATATTTTTCTAATAATAAATTTGTAAACAGCTGAATGATAAATTTATTACTATTATTATTAATGTTTATTGTTTTAAATATACTCTACTATTAAATAAATAAAAAATTATTGTTAAAAAAAATGCAATGGATAGCATGATTTTATCCGATATATTAAGATTAAAATTAATTTTTTATTAAAATTATTTAATTAAATATTGAAGTAATAACCATTGCTCAAATAATTACTAATTACTATATATATACAGTATATGTATATTATTTGATTTACAAACTAAGTAATTATTTTTGTCTTCTTTTATACATACAGTATATATAAGGAAATCTCAAATGAAAAAATATTTTTTTTAAAAAATGACAAATATGTTTATTTTAAATTATTTATTTATCTTTAAACTATAATATAAACATAAAAGAAATTATACACACCAGTCTTGTATTGAAATACTGAGGTCGGCATCATTGGAAAAATCCTTATTAGGAAATGTGGTTTTGTTACAAAGATCGTCGGTCACGTGGCGATAATAGGGACCGACGTGACGATTAAATTATATTTGATATAACTTATATTTTTTGACTTATATTTAATATAATTTATCACTTATGTAACTTATATTAGACATAACTTTATATAGTATATAACTATATCAAATTTAGATAATTTAATATAAATATCGCCAGCAATCGATTAAGAAGAAGAACGAATGGATTTAGAATTAGTTTGATAATTCGATAGTTCCTTATTGCAGATCGCCGGCAATGTTGGGTTATATTCTTATTATTACATGGGAAGGGGAACATCAGGGGGTTTTCCCCGAAAATAGGTAATCCCCTGGAGCGTGCCACTCATTAAATATTAACTATTTTAAACGAAGATTCCCGGTCATTTATAAACTCAGCTAATCACTCGCAATTTTTAAAAATTAGTATGAAGGTGATCATGAGTGACAGGGGATTACATTGTTTATTTCAATGTTATTTATTTCTATTTTATAAATCTACATTTTTCGCATTACATACATCATTTTTTTTAAAAGTTTAATTTACATTTTATTCTGTTACTATCAAGTGATTAAACGAAAGTGTTTATACTTATTATAAACAATTGATTAATACGAATGTAGCAAATATAATATGGATACTATGTGTACATGCCCACACTTTCTAAAGGTAAAAGATATTCAAATTTTAAATTTTTTCTGTATTATCCGAATCATTATAAAATTCTGCAATCATTTAGTTTCAAATTTTATTTTATTTTTTTTTTTTGGAATCTACAAAAAAAAAGAATGGATAAAAAATTTTCACTTCATATAAAGATTCTGTATAATTGTACTCATTAAAGATCACGAAAAATTTATCTTGCCTTAATATAAAAATTATTTTACTATAATTTAATTTATTAAACAAAAAATGATGAAGATACATAAAATTAAAAAGATAACAGATAAATTGAAATTATTTTAATACTGAACAATAAATCATACAATGAAGTTAAGATAATTGTAATAAAATAATTTAATTAATACGATGATATTTAGTGTAAAATTAAGCTGTGTGATAAATCATTCTAGGATAATAACTTTGTCGAGATAATGACCAAATTTGGATTGTCGGGAATGAGCTTTCGAGATTATGTTTATTGGTTGGTCTTGTGTCAGTCGGATGAACGATCTTTGGGATACCGAAACAAAGTAAGCCAATTAAAAAATATTGGATTTTATGTAAATAATAATTTTTTATCCGGTATCACGTCACGACGTCACGTCAAAAATCGTGTATAGTGAGTGAATTTATTAATTGTGAGGCGCAGTATTTTATTTAAATGTAAATTTTATTTACTGCGGTCCGAAATGACGTTAAACTATTAAATCATGTGAAAGGTTCGATTAAAGAGCTTATTATTTTAAGGAATCAGGTAATATTATTAAAAGGTTACATCCGTAACGATGTAATACTATTCTTGTGTTCACAATTATTTTTACTGGAAGTCTGGAACTTATAATAATTATATTATTATCCAAAAATAGTTTCTTCAATGATTTCACGCTTCACAATTACAAAATTTAAAATTTCAATATAGTAATTCAAACAATAAATTTTTGAAAGAAGCTTAAAAAATTCATATTAATTATAAATAAAAAAAATATTTGAAAGTATCACCAAATATTCACCTAAAAACTCTCGTAAATTATTATTAATTTATAAAAGAATGTATATTACTCAAGTAGAAAAAATAGTACATCACAAAAAACTCTTTCTTTGATTATTATTAATGGTATTGCTTCATATTATACTTTTAATACTTTTAGTTTAAATTATAAATAAATAAAATAGTTTTAAAGTAATAAAATTAACGTACATTAATCTGTAATTTATATTTATCCCTAATTTTACTATTCGTTTGTAACATGCTTAAGATGTTTGACCATATTAAGATGTTTGACCATATTTCTATTTTCATCATTTCCACGCTTTTTATAAACAATAAACCCAATAATACTTAAAATTATTATACTTATAACTCCAGAAATAACTCCAATCACAATTTTTATTCGTTGTATGTTTTCTGGTAAGTTCGCATTTGGTACATTTGGTGATTCTTCCGTTTTATTATTTGTGTTCTCTACTTCAAATGTTTCAACCCATGTATAATTTCTTATATCCATTATATACATCCTTGAACTATACATTTTATTACGTGAGTGTAATTCGGTAATATTCCCTATATTTAATTTTAAATTAATTATTTAATAACCAATAATAAAACAACAAAAAAATAACATTATAAATAGAATTTTTATTTTACCAAATGCTACAATCATATAATTTCCAACTAAATTTGCCGTATGACCACTTGTTGCTAAAATATGACCAACATTTGTGGATACTAATGGAACCGTCCACTCAAAAGGAGTTTTCCGTGTATTTAAAACAATTAAAGCAGGTTCGACTTTCCCGAAACCGACTTTTGATTTTCTTCCACCATAAACTATGATATTTTCATCAGGATCTTTAAAAAAATAACAAAATTAATTAAATATTCATAATCAAAGTATTATTGTAAATTATTTTACCTAATACAGTCGAATGAAAAAAACGAGATTCTATAAAACTAGTATTCGTCGCAATCTAAAGAAAAAAAAATATGAATTTAATTAAGATAAATCTAAAAATTATTATTTAATTCGCTCTTACCATTGATGACCAAGTATCTTGTTTAGTATCATAAAGATGAATACGATTGATATCTTCTGTTATTTGATATTCAGTCATTGATCCTCCAATGTATACAATAACACCACTTTTTAGCATAGTTGCACTATAACCAGCACGTCTAATAGGCATATCAATTGTAGAACCATAAGACCACGCTGAATTAACCGTATCCAAAATTAATATTTCATCATAAAAATAAAAATCACTTGAACGAAATCCACTAAAAATATAAATTTTTCCATTATCATCACTAACACCACGTATATTTCTTCTTTTTAAAGGTTCTTTACCATTAATAGTTGGAACATTCCATTCTAATGTTTTTGGATTAAATCTATGAACATTTGTAACATATATATTTACATTTGTAATTGGATCGTACATCATTCCACCAAAAAGATAAGCAATAGGTTCATTATCAATATAAACTAATGACATTGTAGTCATTGCACTACCAAATGGCATCTTTGCATGTATTGAAAGGTCAACCCATGGTGGTGATTCAATATTAAATGTTTTAGAGACATCAAGATAAAATACTTCATCCGATAAAAATCCATTAACTTTTATTCCACCAAAAAAATATAATTTAGAATCTACGAGAACAGAGGAATGACCACAACGTTCTCCAGTAAATGATTCTGTTTTAATGACAAAAATTCCTAACAGTATTAAAATATGAAAAATATTCAAAATTTTTTTAATAAATAAATAAAAAATAAAATTCATTTTTTTTTTCTAGATCAAAAATTACTTATGTGGGTGGAAAACGATTTATGTATGTCGAAATCTTATATAATTATTTCAAATAATAATAAACATAAACAATTTGACGACATACTGTACAGTATGTAACACAAAGTATAAATCAATTGTTGATCATTTTGAAATTTTTTACGAAAAAATTGTATATTGATTCCCAAGTTTCTTTAAGTTGGAGAATGTGAAATTTATTATTTATGATGATCCATTAAGTGAAAATTCATTTGAAATTTGTACGATTTATAATCTATATATAAAGGTCGTAGTGAATTTTACAGACTTAATCTGTAGATACAGGTAATATCATACGATATACTTGTATCTGCAGATTAACATTAGATGCAGCATCGATCCGCTCATGTGTTACCCAAATTCGGATATATTCGGATAGAAACAAACAATCTTACTAGTAAACTGTTTTTTGTTTAGGGACAAGAACGTTACACCTATGAATATAATAGTCAATTTCTGACTTACAATCAATTACTTAATTTATCATTTTTTGTGGAAGTTCTAATAATTTAATGTAGATGAATAATTTTCGGATAACTATTAAGAAAATTTTTATTAATATGAAATAAATTGTTTTGTTCGTCCAATTTATCATATCAAAAATTAATAAAAGTATTGTAATTAAATTTAATGTTATTTTTTTCATATATTAAACTTTATTTGTTGGATTTTAATGATGAAAATCATTTTAGAAAGTTGGTAAATAATAGAAAACCGTTCATGATCCATTGATCCATGATTTGGTGATGGATTTTCCTTTTACATTTTTTTTTTCAATGAAGCATTACTCACGTTCTGATTTTTTTTTACAGCCTGCTCTTCGGCCTAATTATGCCTGGGGTTTTGGTCGGTTCTTTCCTTAAATTATTTTTTTAGGCGACTCTTTCAGTCTCTTTGGATTATTTAGACAGTGGAATTTTGGTAGGGTTTTTTCTTTATTTAATTTAACAAACTGTTAATAACAGTTCATTTTCTTCCTTTATTAGGCATCTTGCTTAATGGATCTTTGGATCTTTTTGGATGCATTGGTCATTGTCTTTTTTCTCCGATTTTCTTTAATTTAACAACTTTTACTAATTAATCTATTTTTTGTTCTCTTTTATTAGATGATCGGGTCTTTGGATGCATGAGAAACTTGGTGGATTGGTCTTTTGACATGTTATTTCCTTCAAATTATTTATTTTAGTGAAACATTTACTAACATTTCATTTTTTTCTCTTTTTAGGTGGCTTGTTCCAATTTCAAAACACTTAGAATTTATGCAAAGTTTTCAAAAATCTTAAAAAAGTTTTTTTAATGGTCCTTTAATTTTTTATAGGGTTTTCAACTTAATGAACAAATTGAAAATGAAAATATATTATAAAATCGTAGTAAATAGCTAGTATTTTATAAATATTTTAGGTGGTTGCCATATTATTAATTACTGTATATACGAAAAAAATGAGTTTTTCAATACATTATACGCATTTTTTAATATGCTTTTATCGCCTTTATCGCTGTTTTCAATTTTAAGTGCGATCCACCCTAATTTTCATCATGTCATCGTAGGAAATCGGGTTTTCATATTTTTTACGTGATGACCAGCCAATAAAATTATTGTTACGACACGTGAGAAATATTGATTCCCAATAAAATTAGTTGTATCACGTGATTAATTTCGAAAGTATAATTTTAAATTTTAATATCTTTGTTCCCTGCGATTCAATTTAAATAATTTTTAATATTATATGTATCGTTAAATATTTTTTTAATAACAAATTAGTTTAAATAATATGTAAATATATTATGTAAATATGTAATAATAAAATTAAATAAATAACTTACATAACTCACAAACTAAAAGAAATTACAAAATAATTTTGTAAATAGAGTTTAATTAGTTTAAAATTATATAAATAATAGAAATATAAATAACATGTAACTTACACCCTAAGTATTATTAATTATTAATTAGCTGAATATAGACAAAAGTATATACTGTCAGAGAAATATGCAATAAATACTTCCAAACGCCTACTTTATCACCTCTGAATAGGTTAAAGAGTAACTTTCGTTTATGGAAACTTTAACTGTAATTCCTTCAGTGTAATTTTTTGTGATTTTTTGTGATTCAAAAAAAAAAAAAAAAAAAAAAAGCGTCTATTAAAAAAATTTTTGGTAAAAAATATTAAAATTATGCTTTATTATAAAGAACAAGCAATCAACTATTAATTTTTTTTTTTCATTATTTTTTTGCGTTTCGTATTGGTTCGTTGCGTTACAATATTATGGAATTAACCGAAAATAGTGAACAATTACGAAAAAAAGTCTTACGAAACATTTTGATATAAAATTTGTAAAAAGAAATCCATAGGATTATTGTGCGATGTAACTTCTGGCTTTTTTTATTGTCATTAAATAAGGATCTTATTCGTTCGTTGTCATGATACTTGTAACACGAAATTCTATACAATTCTTAGACTTACAATAACAAATAATAATATTGTTTAATATGGGGTGAAAATAAAAGGTAGGACGGATGGTCTCGTTTTAAGGATTAGGTAGTAAACTCAGTTTTAGATAGTTTTTTTTTCTAGTTAAAAAATACTTTTACTCCTCTGTACTTAGTCTCTATTATAAAAATAAAAATATTATCTATATTATCCTGTACGGCTGTACTTTTTAAATATGATTGATTCAAAATGTGGCACAGCTAGCTACAAGCAAATGTCGTACACCATTTGTTATATTCTTCGCGAGCTCGCGCTTCACGAAAAATATATTATAAAAAACATGCACTAAAAAATACATTCAACACTATACTTCATACTGAATATTTTTAAACGAAAAAGGACTTTGAAAAAAATTATTATAAAGGTTTTTATTTCTTTTTTCACTTATTTAATATTTCCCAATAATAACAAGTAAACCTTTATCAACTACAAAAAATAATTAATAAGTGTTCTAAAATCAAGTTTCTTTAATATAAAAAAAAACACTGTAAAAGATTAGTATCTGATAATAAATCAAAACGACTAACATTACATATAATTTACATCTTTTAAATAAAAAATCAAAAAAAATATTCCTAAAGAGAAAATGTTTATACAAAAAAAAAAAAAAAAAAAATTTAAAAAAAGAAAAAAGAATTATTACTAACACCACATGTTTTAGACAAAACATATATAAAATAGTAGGCCAGAAGTAAAAAGAAGTGTAAAATGGGAAAGCGAAGCATAGTAAAAAAAAAACTTAACACATTCCTAAACAAGAATATCCTAAATTAAAGTGCAAAGTGTGTCCCTAAAAAGAGAGAAAGAGGTGTTTTAAAGTTTATTTCAAAATAGGATAGAGAATTCTCCGGATAAGTATCCAGTCACATAAAAGTTTACCAGTGTTCTTTAAAATAAACGGAAAAAATTTACTATCACAAAATAAAAAAAAAAATTTCAAGTTATTTTCTAATGTCATGGAAAATACATTACTTTTCAAATTTTTAAAATTAACTTCATTGTATTTGTAACCCATAAACCGAACTTTAATTAATGTTAACAAGTCCAAAAATTTTCGTGATAATCAACACTTGAAATTTACGAGTTTTATATATAACGATAAAATCTAAAAAAAAACCATTTTATCGTGAATTTCACTATATCAGTAGTTGTTTATCATATAAATCATTTCTGATTGGTGCAGCTTTAAATTTCACTAATACTCACATTATATATATACCTCCTCGTCTTTTTGAACTTAAATTACTCTATAATGAATGTTATTACCATAAGTATAGAAAAATTGGTTAAATAATTGGAAAATACAAGTTTTTATGTAAATAAGCAAAATTAGCAATAAATTTTATCCCAGATATCTTGCAGGCAAATTTGCCTGTGAAGATTTTAAATTGGTCTATAGGTTTTTTACTTAAATTTTTATCAAAATATTTATCTACAAACATGTAGAAAGATGCCAATGTCGACCAAATAAATTTCTTTATTTAGCAACAAGGTTCGTTCTTTCTACCTTTATTTTCAAATCCTTGTATTCAAAGATTTTTCATGAATTAGTGTTAATAACCTAATATCCAGGAGGATTCGGTAATTTTGAAAAGTTTGCAGCACAGGGTCTAATGGACAATAGTAGCAACAGTGACATCAACAACGAGAATTAAGTCAAGAGAAAATAGAATGAAAAGATTAACTCAATGTGATATTAAGATGATGTAAAAAAAGAATTATGAGGGATACAATTGTAATATTGAAAGAGTGTCGAAATTTTCAATTAGACAACAAGCTGAAAGCGTAAATAATAACTTCTATAATTCCCATAGAAAATGTTGTTAATGCCTTAATGGTAATAAATATTTAAAATTGCTAAAGCTCACCGGCGGTGATGGTTACCGTACCAGCATTATGATGTACTTTCGACCAGAATTAAAAATCTAATAAAATACTGGCCGGAATTACATCATAATTTCACCACTGGTGATGTTTAGCATAAATATTTATTATACTCATATTTTTATCAAGCATAATATTCCTGTGCGGAGAAAAAATAATAAGTTATACGTTGAAACAGTAATTACATTTTCCTGTTGTTGACATTGTATTATCTTTTATTAAACTTATTATCTTTGAATTTCCTTTCGCTCCTCTTTTTCTATTAAGCCATTTTAAATTATCAAAGAATATTATGGTTTTACTATTATGTGCTTGAAAAGTTTTGATCAACCTTTTTGTGTCTAATGGCAGACTATAATTAAAATTTTGATTAATATTTCAATTTTATTTATTTATTTATTCATTTATCGAATGTTACCGAGAAAGTACAAGATATTCAACGTGTTTTTGATTTTATTTGTTTGTAATTTTATTATTCAATTATATTACTCATATGTATTTTAATCGTAACCGAATATTACATTAATGGAAAAAAAATTAGTTAAGCCTTTAAATTGACTACTATAACATATACACGCATCAGTCGCATCACATAATAATTTACTTCCTTGATATTTGAGAATCACTATTATTATTATTATTATCATCATAAGGCTTTATTGGGTTAATTTCATATTCTATTTATTTGTGAATAATTTTCTTTCAATTAGGTCAGAATTAATTTGACCGAAATATATGAAATCATAATTACTGCCAGAATCAGACGAATTAGACTTAACCATTTATATTTACAATTTTAACTGTATTAACAAGAAAGCAGCTTTAATGTTTTCATTATTACACTTTTAAAATTATTAAGATGTGAAATATCTATTAAGAAGCAAAGATGATAAATGATAAATATCAATAAAATTTTTACGTAAAATCACTTTAATAAATCCTTTTACAAAAGGGTTAATACTGAAAATATATTATAGAAATTCAGGTGAAATTTTCCGGTTTATTAAAGTAGCATGGTATTACAAAAAAGTATTATTTATTGAAGCTGCGAAACTCTTTCTTTCTGTATATTAATTTATGAATTAATAGTTTCTTATGCAAATTCGATCTTAATAGATAAATTATCAGCAGTAATATAATGAACATTTTATTCATCAGGAACAAAATTAAATTATATTTTAGTTTCAAAATGTTTTTATTTAATTAATGAATCAAATAAATAATAAAATAAATAAATAAATACATATAAGTTAATAAATAGGGCAAGTATAATTTAAAATTTTATTTATCATTATTTCTATTCTTACTCATATCATATGGCTTTATCAAACTAATCAAAAATTGTAATTCACTAATTATTGAAAAGCAAAAACAAGACCGCATTTTAATAAAATTTAAAATGTTACCTTTCAACTGAAGATTATGATAATTGAAATATTAAACTATAATGGCGACAAAAATATAAAATATGAAAAATTTAATAACTAAAATAGCAAATGGTTATAATTGGACTAAATTTTTTCTTTGCCTTTAGAATTGCTATCCTGGTCTAAAAAATGAACAAATAAAATAAGTATATTATATAATAGACTTGTTTTTTTTATCCATATCTAAAGAATATTTACCATCTTTATTAGTATTCGATTGAAAAATATCAATTTGTAGTGATTCTATTTAATGGAAAGAAATTAGTGATTTTATTTTTAATAATGATCTGGTTATTTTTTATTAATCAATACCTGAAGAATTCCTACTAATCGTATTATCATTTTTTTCATAAGAATCATCAGAATTATCTTGTTCAGGAAAATTATTATTATCAATTTTTAATTGTAAAGTATTAATTTGTAAGAATTCTATTAATGAATTAAAAATTATTGATATTTTATAATTAATTTTATTCACTTTTTTTTAAAAAAAATATACCTGAAGATTCCATTTTAATATTATCATTTTTTTCATAACTATCATCAGAATTTTTTAGTTCAAAAGAATTGTTATTTTTCAATTGAGAAATATCAATTTGTAATGATTCTATTTAATAATTAAAACCTTATTAGTATATTCTACAATTAATATGAAATTTTTTTTACTAAAAATACCTGAAAATTTCATACTAATTATATTTTCATTTTCTTCATAATAATCATCAGAATTTTTTGGCTCAGGGAGATTATTAAAATCAAGCAATCTACTGGTATAAATTGCTTCTGAATGTGTTTTATATGATATTCCTAGACTAGTAGTACTATTAATCAGTGATTTTTTATTAATTATTTCTGCTTCTTTTATTTGATTGTTTAACTCCGCATAACCATTAGATTTAGGATCATATGTTTCTCTAAACCAATTGCTTAAAGTTTTTTCAATTTCTTCAGCTTTTGGTCGATTTAATGGATTTGCATCCAAGCATTTTTTGATTAGATGCACAATCAATTGGGGTACATTAATATTAAACCTTGGTCTAAGTCCTTTACAAATTTTCACTGCTAAATTTATATCATGGCCTATATCATAATATGGAGGTAATCCAGAAATTACTTCATACATAATTATACCAAAACTATAAATATCTGCAGCTTTGGTATAATTTTGTCCACGTAAAATTTCAGGCGCAATATAAGATAAAATACCATATAATTTGTTTTTTGCATTCTCTGGTACATTATAGTCTGCAGGTTTGCATAATCCCATATCGGTTATACAAGTGTGATTTTTAAGCCTTAATATATTACCAATATGCAAATCTCGATGAATTAATTCTTTTTCATGTATATTTCTAAGTCCATCTGCAATTTTATGTAAATAACTGATCTTATTATTCCAATTTAAATAATTATATTTTATATCTAAAAAATTTCGTAAATTCCCATGCTCTGCATAATCTAAAACCATGATGTAATTTTTTTCTTTTGGATCTTGAGTTATTCCATAAAGTTTAATAATACATTTGTGCAAATTTACTTTGTAATGTAATGTAATCTGTATATTTATAAATAAGTATTAATACCAATAATTAAATAACTTTTATTGAGTAATAATTGACTAATTTACCTCATTCATAAATTCCAATGTAACATTTTTTGAATTATTTAAACTTTTCAAAGCTACGACCATGTTTTGATCCTTTCTTTTCCAATTTTGATTATAGTCATCCCATTCGTCTATATAACCATCAATCCATTTTGCTCTATATATTTTTCCAAACCCACCTTTTGCAATATATTTAATATCATAAAGCCTATCATAGGGTATCCATTCTAATACATTATTTGTATATGATTTTTGAGCATCTTGAATAAATTTATCAATGTCATCATTGCCACTGGTCCAATTTTTGAAATTTTGTTTAAAACGCATTGTATTGTGCACATATTTCCCATACATGTCATTAAAAATCCCCATATAATTCTTGATTTCTGGATCTTGAGTTATTCCGTAAACTCCATGAGGTATTACAATCTGTAATATAATAAAGTTAATAATATTAGTAAAATAAAATTTTTAACTATTCACTCTTTTAAACGATATGGTGCAGTACAATTTGATTAATTTGTATTACAATTTTCAAAGAAATGAAACTTTTACAAAATAACACATTTATTATACCTTATTTATAAATTCTGATGTAATATTTGCTGGATTATTTAAAATTTTCAGAAATACAAACATATTTTGATTTTTTCTTTTCCAATTTTGACTATAATCATCCCATATATATATAAATCCATCAATCCAATTTGCCCTATACAATTTGCCAAACTCTTCATCTTCTGAAATATATTTAATATCATAAAGTCTATCATAAGGTATCCATTCTAATGCATTATTTACCTCATGATAAGTATGTACTGATTGCTGAGTATCTTGAATAAATTTATCAATATCATTATTACCACTAGTCCAATTTTTAAAATTTCGTTGAAAATATATTGAATTACAAATTTCTTTACATTTTTCACATATATCATTCAAAACCACCATAAAATTCTTGGTTTCTGAATCTTGAGTTATTCCATAAACTTCATGAGATACTGCAATCTGCGATATATTAAAGTTAGAAATATTAGTAAAAATAAAATTTCAACTATTTGTTTTTAAACGACTGGAAACTTATTTCACAAAATGGCATAGTACAATGTGATTAATTTATATTATAATTCACAAAAAATGAAACATTTGATAAATTTATTATACCTTATTCATAAATTCTAATATATTACTTGCTGGGTTATTTAAAATTTTCAGAATTACAAACATATTTTGATCTTTTCTTTTCCAATTTTGATTTTCATAATTCCAACTATTGTCACAATCATAATTAATACATCCATCAATCCAATTTGCTCTGTACACTTTACCAAACACGTCATCTTCTGCAATATATTCAATATTATAAAGTCTATCATAAGGTATCCATTCTAATGCATTATTTACCTCATAATAACTATGTTCTGATAGCTGAGTATCTCGAATAAATTTATCAATATCATTATTACCACTAGTCCAATTTTTGAAATTTCGTTGAAAATGTATTGAATTACAGTACACTTCATTAGTACATTCACCATTCAAAACCACCATAAAATTCTTGGTTTCTAAATCTTGAGTTATTCCATGAACTTTATGAGATACCGCAATCTACAATATATTAAAGTTTGAAATATTAGCAAAAATAAAATTTTCAACTATTTGTTTTTAAAAAATTGATAATTTTTTCCACCAAATGGCACAATATAATAAGTATGATTAATTTATATTATAATTCGCAAAATAATGAAATTTATTATACCTTATTTATAAATTCTGATGTAATTGTTGCTGGATTATTTAATAATTTCAGAATTACAAACATATTTTGATCTTTTCTTTTCCAATTTTGATTTTCATAATCCCATTCATATATGCATCCATCAATCCATTTTGCACTATACACTTTGCTAAACTTATCATCTGCAACATATTTAATATCATCAAGTCTATCATAAGGTATCCACTCTAATGCATTTACTACTACAAATAAAGTATGTTCTGATAGCTGAGTATTTTGAATAAATTTATCAATATGATAATTCCTGCTAGTCCAATTTATAAAATTTTGTTTAAACCGTCTTGCATTGCATATATAGTTACAATGACATAACTTAATCTCCACACTTTTTTTAATAGAAGAATCCATTGAGAGTTTTTTAAACTAAAATTCATACATATGAAAAAAAAAAAAAAAATTTGCAGTAGTAAGAAAAGAACAATTTCTTTATAAATGGAAGAACAATATTTATGCATAATTTATATGTATTGCTGATCATTGTAAGACAAATTTTTATGAAAAAATTCAACCAATTATTTGCCGATCTAAATAACACAAAATTGGTGAAACTTTTTGAACTAAACATAATATGTTCATTATTATAGAGCATTTTTTTATGTTATTCATGTCATATATTATATTGTATATTTATAAAGTTATAAGCTAATTATCCGTTATTTAAACTTAATGCTATAATAAATGGTAATTATGTATTGCTGATCATTGTAATGGGGCTGAAATTTGATCATTTTGCACGTGAATTTTCCTAAAATAACAAGAGTTCGTTACAAAGCTGTAAATTAAATATATGGATGAAGCATTTTTAGGTTATTTATACACAGTGAAAGTTGATAAACTGGATCTTTGATAAACCGGATTTGGGCCTAAACCGGACTTTTTGCTGGAACCAAATCACATATATTAAAATAGTTTCGATATACCGGAGTTTACTAGTAAAAGCTCGATATTCGCTATAACGGATCAATTTTCTAACCAGCTATTCGATAAACCGGATCACGTAATCATAACCAATAAAATTTAATTTACGTGATGCGGTAAATCTTAATTTTGGCCAGTATTATAAAAATCTTAATTCCGGCTGAAGTTATGTATTACTTATATCTTCAATTAAAAGTATTTTATATTCATTTTTATGAACTCTATGACTTAAAACTAGGATGAAAAAATTAAATTATAGCGTATATTAATTTTATTAGCATGAAAATTCAGTATAATAGATTTTCAGTATATCGAAATTTTTTCTTCTATACCGGATATCCAAATAAACCGGACATTTTTAGTGGAACTGATAGATCCGGCTTATTGAATTTCACTGTGTATACGTTTATAAAGTTGTAAGTTATTATCCATTATCTAAAGAATACTAAAATAAATATCAGTCAATGATATATTTAATCATGAAAGAAATCATCACATGGAAACCTAATTTTTCTGAAAACTTGAAAAGGTGCAGAATCTGAAGGTCATAAAAAAATTATTATAATTACTAGTAGTCTACTAAAACCCTGTTATATGATTCATGAGAAATTTGGTGGAGTTGGTTTTATTTTTTTATTTCACTAGTTCCTTATCGTTATGCAATCAATGGATGCAACCAAACACTAATTACCTAATTGAAGAAACAAATATGATGTACAATGTCCAAATAGGATTTCGTCTGAGGAAACTTGACAAAATTTGAAATACTGTTAAGTTATAAATACTCTTGTTGGTTGATTCTTTATTATAGGAATAATGTTTAAAATAATTATTCTCATTATTTTTATTTTTCATTATTCAACTCTTTAGCTTGGAGAAAAGAATGCTGAAAGGTTGTACAATGAGTCTAACTTTTAATCGAAATTCAATATATGATTAGTTTGATGCCAGCATTTTTATAACATTACATATTAAGCTTAAGCTTAAGCTTGCTTTTAAGTTTAAAATATGTCAAGCTTTATGCATTGAATCCTTACGTAATAAAATGGTAAAATTGGTTAATTACTGTTTACTTTTAATTTTTATAAAAAAGGAAAAATATAATATTTCTCGATAAATTAGTAAATTAATAGTTTTTCTTTATGGGAGTTTGTTCTTTGTTTTATTTCCCATTTTTTTTTTCTTTTTAAAAGATTATCTGAATTAAATGAATTAAACCAATTATCTCAAGAGTAATATAATCTCTAATTATATTTTGGGTTATTTTTTCAAATCTAGAATTTTTTACTAGTATGTCAAGAAAACTTCGGATACAAGTTAGTGATCATCACGTGACCACACAAAAGTTTTCCCATTTAAAGTTAAAATAAATCATCCTAACGAATTGTTTATTGACAATTGCTAAAAAAATTATTAGATATGTCAAAATAGATTTTATACATGAAATATTAATTTCATTTTTAATTTAATAACGCTCATATAAACTTTTTTTTATAAAATTGATTAAACCAATAGATAAGAAAAATAAAATAAAAAAATAACACGTTAAATATTTTAATATTTTTTAAATGATTAATGATAATAATAAAAAGAATAATTAATGAGTGTCCCAACCTGATTCTCGATTTACCCTAGTTAAAATAATTAGGATTAAAATACTAACGAAAAAAGTTTAGTTTATTAATCGCTCTAGAACGTGAAAATATAACTTTTTTTCATTTTTTTCATTTCCTTCATTAAAAGCTTTTTTTACAATTTCTACTCTCATTTCTCACGATTTTTTTCATTCTTACATTTCATTCTCATTTCCCATTAATTTTCTTTTCAATTCTTACAACTTTCTCTTCATTATTAACAAATTTTCACAACTCTTCTTGTGAATTTTTTAATCAAATACTATGGATAATAACGACATATTATTAAGGAATTAGAACATAGGATTACGGGATATGCAAAATTGATATAAACATGTCCATAATATTTTAGTTGATCAAAGTTCGCTTATAAAAACTTTAAGTCATGAGCTCGATAACTTAAATTTTGTAATCTGGGAGTTGTTTTCATGAGACGAGATCTGAATTTTTGGAATTATTCGCAAATGACGTTTAATAATAAATTTTTGGGGTATTAAGGAGATAAACAATTCAGTAATTGGTTATTGGCATGTAGTGCCTCAATATTATCGGTTTGGCGGGCCATTCATGCATGTAATATCCAGTTACAGTATTATCCATTAATTTCTGCATGAACTTATGTATTGATCCATTTCATATCTCAAAAGCGTCATTGTCAACATTGTTATTCTTAGTAATATGATACGACTTTAATCTTAATAAATTATTAGTTATAGAATTTATATATTATTAAGTCATCATTTAAATTAAATTAACATTATTTTTCTCTATAATTTCCTTTTTTTGAACAAAAGAAAATGAACATCATGATAATTCTTTGTCGCTTTATTTTAGTTTTTCTCAAACAAATCCTTATAATGTACAGTAGATCCACTAATAATTATTAAATTTAACTTTATAATAAAATTTCATGTCTATATATTTGTATTTATTTTTTCTGATATAATAATCGAAATAAATTTTTTTTTTCTTTCCTTTTTGACAATTATTGTCGTCAAAGAGTTCTTATCATAGACTAACAATTAAAAAGTGAACAATATGGCGCAGCGTCAAAGAATTTCATTAAAGATTAAAAATATAATAATTAAAACAAAGTATGCTATAATAGTTTAAGAAATTCATATGACAATGACGAGAATTTAATCTTTATTTCCTTGATTTAGCAAATGATTATTCTTTTTAGGAAAAAAAAAAAAACCTTCCCGTGATAATGGGAATATTTTTAACAAATTAAAACCTTTTTTATGTTAAATAGATTTTATAAACATTTTAATAACTTCTTAAATTTTATTATTAATTATTTTCTAGAGAATGAAATTGTGCTTAAGAGAATTTGTAATGCGAGTTTATTATTTCATTTACGTTTTTCATTTTACGTAAATGGAATTTTTTTTATCATATATACATTTCAACTGCGATTTCTGAAAAAAAAAATAGATTTTGCGCTAGAAACTCTTTCTGCTGATCTTTCGTACCAAATTTTTACGAAAGAAAAATATTACAAAATATTAAAATATTTTTATTAAATAATACACAAATATGTTTAAAAACACTAGTTCAACGCAAGAAGAGGTTACTAACAAATTTATAGAGGAGTTTTACAAGGAGTCTTTGGGTATAGAAGACAAGTGTTTGCAACTTTGCATAAGTTTTATTATACAAGTACAAACGAAGACTTTTGGGCAGTAGCTAATAAATATTTAGATATTTACCTAGAGGAATATTTTCACCAGGTGTGCGTCCGCGCTAGTCGTTACATATAGGAACCTTTTTAATATTATGTGGTGGTCTAGTTATTAGGAAAATAATGCCGAATCTTTTTGAAAAAAAAATTTTCGTTTCTTCCAGAGGGCCGCAGAAAAGACTCAGAATCACGTGGTTCGGAAGAAAAATTAAACAAAATGGCAACTGAATTATCAGAGAAAGAACGAATAATATTGCTTCATAAAGTGAAAAGTAGAAAATTTAAAACAGACCATACTGGATTTAAAAAAATAGGGAACGAGAATTAGAAAAATATAAAGAAACGATTACAGACTTGGAAAATCGTATTAGGGAGTTAGAAGTTGATGTAACGGTCAAGGAACGAATGAAATAGAAAAAGAAGAAGTTAGAATTATTACCGAAAAATTCAAGGATCTATAAAAGAAGAAGGAACAAGGAGCGAGTTTATCTCACAAAAAAGTTAAGGATAACCCTGGTCAAACAAAGAAAAATTCTTCAAGCAGGAGGCGTAAAAGTCGGAAAAATTTAGATACACAACATTATTCAAATGGAAAGATCACTGAGCTTTCTGATTGTTACAACTGCGATGAAATGGACGGTAAATAATAATTTCAATAAATCATGTAATATGACATTTTACGATTTTCCTTGGTATTTAGTATTGGACGAAGAAATATTTGAATGTATAAGAGATGTTGGTTATGTGGAGAAAATTACAGTATAAAGAAGTTATAAGACGATCAAGGCCAAGCTTCATTTTACCAAAGAGTATGAAAATACTACACGCGAGGTGGGGCTAATATTATAATTATTAGGAATGGTCGTCAATATTTCTCCGGATGTTTTATTCTGATTTAACACCATTGGAACTAAGTAAGAAATTTGGTTGGCAAGCAGTTAAGAAAATTGTAACAGGAAATGATATTACTGATGGAGAAATTATTAGAGAAAATATTAAGAAATATGGAGGATTTTTCGGAAAAGTCATTCGGGTTATCAAAATTAAATATATCCTTTTATACTTTAACAACGAAAATGAAATAATGAACACGTTCTACAAATCAGGAATGGAAGATGAAATAGGGCAAGGGCTACAATTAAAAGTTAAGACGAACTTATAGGGAAGGATGGCAATTTCAAGTCATGGAGGATCTACAAACAATAATGTATCGGAGAAGTCGGATGACGAACAATTTTACGATACAGGACAGTCTAACAGATCTAAAGATTTTGAACGACAAGATTGATGATTTGTTTCTAGTGACAGAATTAAGGAAATTAATGGCAATGAACCAACAGGTAGTATTAAAGGAAACCAAGGACGGTGATAATATTAATGAAAACAAGAAACATGTTGCGCAAATTCAAGGTTCTCGAGGGGATGATGATAGTAAAGGGAGTGAATGAATATACAATATAGTATGATTTTAGCACTATATTAGATGGGTTTAGTCTTTTAAACCTTTATTAGTATAGTAAAAATTTGTACAATATAAATGATTATAGCATAGACACAAAAGCATCATATCAATAAGGTATCTATCTAAAAAATTTTTGAAACTACACTATAAAAGAAATAAAAATGATAGTTATTCTTCATAGAACATGACAGTAACATGACCCACCGTCATATTGTAGTGCTGGTCCTATTGAAGATGATCTTTTCTATTGGCAAGCGACAATTATGGACCTGTAAGTACATTTAGCCGGCTTATATTTCAAATTTATACAGATGCAACTCAATCATAAACGTTATTAATTATTAATATCAAAATTTGGTTAGTCTTGCTCCCCATACTCAGGAAGCGTATTTTTCCTTAATGTACATTTTCCATTCGATTACCCATTTAAACCACAAAAGGTTACATCTGATTTATATAGTTGCATTACTTGCCTATATTTTAACTACGTACTTACTTATAATAGATTAAGTTTACTACAACTCTACAAGAGTTTATCATCCGAATATTGACAATAGAGGAAATATAAGCGTGTATATTCTAAAAGATCAATGGTCACCAATGCTTACTATTTTAAATTTCAAAAGATAAATCTACTGCGATATTGTTGCTTTATGTAAATAATTTAATCAACTATATTCTTTAAAAGTTCTCTTATCAATTTATTCATTGATGACTGATCCAAACCTGAGTATTTATCATACCATTATTCTCTCGTCTGTTTAATTTACTTAATTGGTTCTCATAAATAAATTAAACAATAAGTCAATAATATTAGACGACCCATTTGTACCTGAAATTGCTCGTATATACAAGACTGACCGCATTCGTTATAAAGCTATGCTCAGGATTGGACTTGAAGATATGCTAGCAAGTATAAATACAATACAATTTTTTGCTTATTATATTTTTATTAATTATATTACATTAAAATACTTACTATCAATCTAAGTGTAATTATATAGATCATATCTAATTACAAACTTTACATTTCGTTTAATCGCTTCCTCATAAAGTCATTTATTTATTTACAACGAATGGTTATTAATATGCTAAAAATTTCTAATGGTCAAACAGATCTTATTAAAATATATATAATTAATACTGGCGTTTCGATCTGTATTCAGATCTTGAATAATTATTTTTTTTTGGATATCCAAATATGAACATTTTTTTTAACTATTTTATCAATTATCCATCAAAAATAAAAAAATAAAAAATTTCTCCTGATTATAATTTACATTGATTAAATGTTCATACTATACATCTGGTTAAAATATTGAGACTGAATTATTTGTAATTTTAATTAATTAAATTTGTTAAAATATTTTAATAAAATTTTTCGATGTCTTGATTTTATAAACAAATTGGGAATTGCTAAGGTTTACAAGATTTAGAAATCCATGATCAGATCTTAAACTATAAACCATTATTAAATTCTTAAATTTGCTGATTTATGACAATTATACTTACTTACTGCCAAAAACAAAATTTAAAATTTCAATACAGTAATTCAAAAATAAAATTTAGAAGCTTGGGTGATTAATTAAAATTTTCTATAATTCAGTTCTGTCCGGATATTAGAAAATTTTTTATTAGTCATAAAATAATTAATTAGAAACCTTAGAAGATTTAAATGAAAAAAACTTATTTGAGAGTGTCGTTAAATATCCACCTAAATACTGCTTAAATACTCTCGTAAATTGAAATTAACTTATAAAAGAATGATTCCAATGCATATCTCAAATAGTAAAAATTGTACAAACATCAAAAAAACTCTTGCTTTGATTATTAATGATACTGTATTGTTTCATAGTATTATACTTTTAGTTTGAATTATGAATAAAAAAAAAGAATTAAATTGAAAGTAATAATATATAATAACATAATGTTTTGAACCTTTTGATTATACCACCTTAATTTTGCTATTCATTTGGAACAGGCTCAAGATATTTGACCCTATTTTCTTCATTTTCACGTTTCTTATAAATTAAAAGTCCAATAATACTTAATATTATAACTATAACTCCAATAATGACTCCAATCACAATATACATTCGTTATGTTTCCAGATGTCGATGTTGGTGATTCTTCTGTTTTATTTTTTGTGTTTTCTATTACTTCAAATGTTTCAACCCATGTATAATTTCTTATATCCATTATATACATTCTTGAATTATACATTTTATCATGTGAATGTAATTCGGTGATGTTCCCTATAATTGTATTTATTAATTAATAATAAAATTATAAAGATAATATTATAAATAAAATTTTGTTTACCAAATGCTACAATCATATAATTTCCAATTAAATTGGCCGTATGACCACTTGTTGATATCACAGAATCAACATTCGAGGATATTAATGGAGCTGTCCATTCAAAAGGAGTTTTCCGAGTATTTAAAACAATTACAGGTGGTTCAACTTTTGCAAAACCAACTTTTGATTTTCTTCCACCATAGACTATAATATTTTCATCAGGATCTTAAAAAAAAAACATAAAGTATTAGAATATTCACAATAAAAGAATGATAATATATTATGCAACAAAGAAAAAAGTTCAATTGTAAATATTTTACCCAATACAGCTGAATGAAAAAAACGAGAATCCATTAAACTAGTATTCGTTGCAATCTAAAAAAAAAAAAAAATAATATTATAATTATTATAATTAAAATTAATTATATTATAATAGCTTTAAAATTTTATAAATTAATTTTGCTCATACCATTGTTGACCAAGTATCAAGTTTTGTATCATAAAGAACAATATTATTAATATTAATTGTTAGTTCTTGTTCAGTTATCGATCCTCCAATATATACGATCACACCATTTTTTAACATAGTTGCACTATATCCAGCACGTCTAATTGGCATATTCGGTGCAGTAGAATATGACCACGTTGAATTAAACGTATCCAAAATTAACATTTCGTCAAAAAAATGAACAGTGTTTGAGTATAAATAAGCATCATAAAATCCACTAAAAATATAAATTTTTCCAGTATCATCACTAGCTCCACGTATATTTCTTCTTTCAGGTTCTTTACCTTTAATAAATGGAATCTTCCATTCTAATGTTTTTGGGTTGAACGTATGAGTGTTTGAAACAAATAGATCTTCACCTGTAATTGGATCTAACATTACTCCACCAAAAAGATAAACAATAGGTTCATCATTAATAGTTACTAATGACACAGTATTCATTGCACCTCCAAATGGCATTTTTACATGTATTGTAAGGTCTACCCATGGTGGTGATTCAATACTAAATGTTTTAGAGACATCAAGATAAAATATTTCATCTGAACAAAATGAATTAATTTTGATTCCACCAAAAAAATACAATTTGGAACCTATAACTACTGAAGCATGACCAACACGTTCTCCAGTAAATGAATCAATCTTGATGACAAAAATTCCTATTACAAAGACATAAAAAATATGCAAAGTTTTTTTAGAAAAAATAAAATTCATTTTTTTTTTCTAGACATGAGTTATAAAAATGAAAATTAATTATGTGACGAAAATGATTTATTAAGAAATCTTATTATAGTACGAAAAAATAATTATAGTACGAAAATAACAAACATAAACAATTTGACGAGTGACGACGTATGACTTTTTTGTTTGTACGTAACACAAATTATTTGGCGAAAATGAAAATAATAAATATAAACAAATTTGACGACGTATGATTTTGTTTGTTTGTATGTAACACAAATTATTTGCCGAAAATGATTTTATGTCGAAATTTTATTATAATGAGAAAATAATAAACACAAACAATTTGACGACGTAGATAATTAGACGGTTTAACATTGACTGCAGCGTCGATCCGGATAAATTAAAAAAAGAAATATCCAGGTTGTTCATGTGTTACTCAAATTCGGATATATTCGGATAGAACGGGTAGAACGGGTAGAAACAAAGCCTTACTAATAAACTCTCTTTTGTTTGGAGACAAGGCGTCTGCGGGACCCTCAAGCAATGCACAAAAAGGTAACAATACGGGGTTTGCATGGAATTATGCAAAATAATGTGGAGTTCCTTCCTTTTTGAAATACCAGACGACATTATGTAATTCTGGCCCTGAATAGATGTGTAAAAGCTTATGATAAATGAGTGTTTCTAAAAAGAATACTAAAATTTTAAAAATAATAATTACCACATTTAATGTAGATCTGTTATTTATAATTTTTGGATAACTACCGAAAAAAATGAAATAATTCTTTATAAATATGTTCGTCAATTTATAAGAGTTTTGAAAATAAATATAATTTGTATTATTGTAATAAGTATCATTCTTAGCTTTTTCATGTAATAAATAATATAAAATTTAATATAAAATTCAATTTGATAGGGTTTTGATGATGGAAACCATTTTAGATAGCTATATATAAATACATTAGTGTAAATAATATCTAATGACTATTTGCTTGACTTAGGTTGAAATATTATGAAATTTAAAGCTTTAAACCCACTATTATTTACTTATTATTGTAATGAGAGAGTCTCAGACCAACGCACTTACGATGCATTATGTAGTATCTTGAACAGTTCAGCTAAAGTAATACCTTGAAGACATCGTAATTGTTATTTTGGGAATAAACAAATTGAATAAACGGATAATATAAGAAAAGTTCAATATTGTAGATTACCGTTACTGCATAGAATAATGACTTTTATGTTGATTGCTAGTCATAATTTACAAGTCAAAGAGTAACTATCGCTTTTACGAGATAATTTTCTTTATCCAATTGAACATATGCACGATTGATACAATGAATTAATAATATTTGACAATTTTCAAACTAATCTCATCATAAAACAATTATTAAAAGATTCTAAAAACGGAATTTTTAATGGTGTGCCTCAGGGTTCAGGTGTCGATTTGCGTCAGCTAACATTATCACATGAAATTTTAAACTTTTATAGTTAGTATGATTTTATCTAGTCTTCATTATTTTAGTTATTATATAAATTATCCAATCTTTTAACGTCACACTGCATTTAAATCCAACACTTACAGTAGTTTTTAGAAAAAATATTGCTAAGGAATTTTATTACATCTAGAAGTTGAATCAAGATTAGAATGATACCTTAAAATAGTATGAGTTACAGTACATTCATAGATGTTAAATTTTTTATGTCAGGAATGAAGTTATTATTTATATTTTGAATAGTTGGAGATAAATTAATTTGCCCAAATGATCAGCTAATAACAAACCAATTTAATATATTTTTATTAAACCAAAATATTGTATACAAAAACCATAAATAATAACTATAAAAGGCTACTGTAATTTAATAAAATAATTTAATTAAACTAATTTCTTTGATTCTTATAAAAATGAAAGAAAAACTCATTCAATATTATTTTCTTCATTTTGATTAATTTCATTAAGATCTATAAAATAAATAAATTAGTAAGTATTAATAAAGTAAAGAACAAAAGAATAAATATCTTACCTGATTCGTCTAATTGACAATCAAAACATTCTGAATCTATAAATTAATTAACATGATATTAAAATCAATATAAATATTATTAATTAAATTGTTTAATAACCGAAATAATTACTACTCACTTAATGTTGGCTGAATAGCATCTATTAAAAAATAAAGTTATTAGTAATGTAAACCATTTTTTCTTGTTATCAAAATAAAGAAATTAAATTACCTGAATTTACTGGTTCTGGAAGATTTTTGAAATTTAAAAGTCTACTAGTATATATTGCTTGTGGATGTGTTTGAATGTTATTAGATCTTTTTTCACTTGTACTGTTTAATTTGATTTTATCATCATATTCAATTATTTGAGGATCACTATCATCATAATCTTCAAACAATTTTTCAAGTTCTTGATATAATTCTTTAGCAGTTGGTCTATTTTCTGCTTTAGCATCCCAACATTTCGTAATCAAATCTGCAAGTAATTTTGGTGTATATTTAAAAATATTTGGTCTAAGTCCTTTACATATTTTAATAGCTAAAGCAGGATTATGAGGAATATTATTATAAGGAGTTTCTTCAGATATAAGTTCATTCATAATTATTCCAAATGAATAAATATCAGATGCTTTGGTATATTGATATCCACGTAAAACTTCTGGTGCCATATAGGGTAATACTCCATAAACTCCTTCTTTTTTAGCTGATTGTTCTTCATTATTTGCTGGTTGACACATTCCTAAATCACTTATATATGGAACATTTCCACTAAGATATAATATATTGCCTGAATGAAAATCTTTATGAACTTTTTCAGCATTATGGATATCTAGAAGTCCACTTGCAATTCCCTTTAAATGTATAATTTTTGAATAATGACTTGATTCATTATTTAGAAAGTAATTTCTCAAATTTCCATATTTACAATATTGTAAAACCATCATATAATTTTTGGTATCCGGATCTTGAGTTATTCCATAACATTGAATAACATCCCAAACATAAATCTGAAGATGTGATTTAATCTAATAAAAATATTGAAGGAAGAAAATTTTAAGATTCATAAACAAAAATTTATGTAATAAATTAATTCATTATTTTAATTATTACCTCATTTAAAAATTCTGTACTTATAAAAGAAGAATTATCCAAACTTTTTAATGCAACTTTAGTGTTATTAAACCTTATCCAGTTTTGATTTTCAATATCCCAATGAGCAATATATCCTTCAGGCCATTCAGCAGAATAAATTTTACCAAATCCACCTCTGGTAATATAAGTAATATCTTTAAAATTTTCAAAGGGTATCCATTCAAGATATCTTTTATAATGCACAGCATTAAGTTGTGATTGTTGTATAAATTCATCAATATCTTTATTTCCACTAGTCCAATTTTTAAAGTTATCCTTAAATCTTTTAGCATTACAAGGTTGACACCAATATTGTCCTGTGCCAGGTTCATTACATTCTCCACATATTCCATATACTTGTTTTCTTTTTTCTAAATCTTCCATATAAACTATTTTATTATCTACCTCTTTTGCTGATTCAGTAGTTGAACTAATAGCAGAAATTGTAACATGTAGCTTTTAAAATAAATGATAAAAAAATTATTAAAATTACTAAAAATTTAATAATATCATATTATTAATAATAAATGAAATGTTTTACCTGATACTCATCACCATCTACAATGTTCCATAAATTTCTTTTATTTTCTTTAGGATTCATTTTTGATACTTCCATTATATGTATATAGATTACAATTTATTTATTAAATTCAAGGATAACGTTAACATATAATGAACGTAAAAAATTTTTTTTTAAAAATAAAATTTGCGGAGTTCGGATAAATTTTATTTCAAATAAGCCCCTTATGCAGCATATGTAACACAAAAAATTTGATTTAAAAATTCTATATATAGTTAATCAATAAAATAACTTGTTACGCAATTGATCGGCATAAAAGAAAAACCAATTTCAGCCAATAATTCCGGGAATGCCGATCATTTAGGCAGCTGAATTCTCAACAAAATTATATATGAAATTAAAATAAAATCATAATAATTTCATATAAATACAAGATTATTTAATTTAAGTTATATTTCTAATACTTCAATAAAATTAAATTAACTAAAAATTGCTTGTTAAAATAATTGATCTTTAATATCGATATTATTTTCGTAATTATATAAACATTTAATTGGGATATTTCACATAAACTTCAAATAATAGATAATGATTCTATTTTTGCTTGAATAAATAAGCTATATTATAACTGCAACATCGAAAAAAAAATATCATAAAATATTAATTGTTCGTTAAATATAAAATTATAATGGAAGTTTTTTAGATGTAACGCTACGGTATGATGAAACTTTGCGTAAGTGCGTAAGTCTTGTAAATTTGCTTTATGTAAACCTACGTAAACTTATGTTTGGTTATATTAACAGCCACGTAATCTTATATATCAGATAATTTCTAGGTAAAATTAAATTGATAACCTAATGATAGATTATTAAAATAGTTAATAAATTTTGTATCACTTGACAAATTCAAAATTATCACCACTTGTATTATACAAAATATATAATTCAATGAGACTCATATATAATGTTGACTTGTAATTAACTTGAAAATAATTCATAATCTAAGATTATCAGACTTTGTAAATCTGTAACGTAAAAAATGACACGTCAGTTAGTTATCTTGTGCAAAGTTTTGGAAGTAGAGATCTGCATTTAGCCAATATTTTGTAACCTGAACTCTCAGAATCGAAAAATTTATAAGATAATACAGTAAGTATATCATCAAGCAAATATCAATTCAGATTGTATTAAAAAACTTTTGCTTCTATAAAAATCTGAAAATTTTATCCATACTTTATATTGCAATCTTTCTATTTGCAAGTCATTTTAACAAAGTAAACTTTGGTAATATAATTTTCTTTGTAAAATTTCCAGAATCCGTTAAATTTGCATTGAGTCAAGATTGTTTTATGAGTCCATAATTATTTTTATTTTTTGCAGTACAGATTTTATATAAAGTAATATCCACTTTTTTATGTATAATTTTTTTAGTCAATAATATATAATTTGTTTAACTTTATATTAATATTCAACAATATTATAAACTTTTAATCTGTTTTTATTATTTGATTCAACTTTTCTTCTGAAGATCTATCTACGTACAATATTATAATAAAACATAGAATATTTGAATGATAGAATCATGATAGATCCTAGTCATTTATTGGATAATTTTTAACATGAATATTATATTTAATGAATTTTGAAATTTGTCCACAATAAAAGTAATAGAGAAAGTTGATATGGTGGTACAAGATCATTATGATAGCAGGGTGCTTTTGGGGTTAAAGTTGCGATAATCTAATCATTTTAAAATGTTATTTATGGCGAAACTTTCACAAAAAAAATATGCGATTGAGGTTACTGAATATACGGTATGTGGAAAGTCAAATAAAAACAAATAAGTAATAATTCAGAGTAATAGTTACATTAAATTAGCTGTCTACATATACTAATAAATAATAAATAGTTTAATATTTATCTATTGGCAATGAAAAAATTACTTTGATAAGACATATATTAACATACAGATTTTCAACTAATGATCATTATCCAAATGCTGAAATTGGAAAATAAAAAAAAAATTATCTTAAAATTTTAATATTTAACTTACTTAATCGTGAAATATAATCAAATACCATTTCATTTGTAAAAAATAAAAAAATTCAAAAAAAAAGTATTTGTAGAATAATATGGTTCAGTTATTTAAATGAAATAAATATCTTCATTTCACGAACATTTTTTTATATGGTCCCTAAAAAAATTCCTTTTAATTTATTATTTAAGATAATACAAAATATATGATTTTTAATATTTCGTGGATTTGATTACTTAACGAAATTTTCTCCTAATTTACTTATCTATTAAAATTTTTAAATGAATCGACTTTTGCAATCGCTTCTTATTCAATAAACATTGGTATCATTTGGTTATTCTATGAACAATTATGATATAACATTGTAATTACTAGGCAAAATAGGCGAAAAGAAATTGTTCTAAATCATATTTTATATAGATAAAGCCATTTACTGAGTTATACTCAAATATGGATTTTAAGATTAGAAAAGTACAGCTCGTAAGTAAATACAGCAAAATTTATAATTTCGGCGGAATTATAAATTTCATGTAATATTTTTAATTTACGTACTGTAATTTCTAAATCCTTACGAACCTTCATTAGTATTACGTAAGTATTTATTAAAATAATCAAATTACATTAGTCTACTTGAATTGAAATAAAATGATCTTTGATGGTTTTTCCATCATTTTTGAATTGAGTAATAATAATAATATTAGCGTTAGGTGGTTATAAAAAAATAATATTGCATTTTCTCTATTCTGATTATAATGTAACATTTTATAAGAGGAAATAAATATGCTTCTAAATACTAAAATTATATATTAACCGATTATTAAACTAAATCGATTATTAAGCTTTTATAATTTTGCAATTAATTTGATATTATTACAACTTATTTACAATGTATTTTCTTTTTAACGATTATTAACATTGGATATTTGGATATTTTATCTTCACAATTTTTCTTTTATAACTTCACATCTTTTGTTCTTTGGATCACATGACATTATAGTTTACTGCGTCACAAATAACTTTATTATTTAGGACAAACTTTAAATATACAATAAATATCTCATCAAAGTATTAATGAATTCCTTCAGCTGGATGATTTAACGGATAATCAATTAGATAAACTATCTCGCTGAAACAATAAATTTTTTAGTTCTTTGACTTAAATTATATTAAATAATCGGAATTTCGAAATAAAAGTTATTTTGAGAAATTGAAATTAATTATTATTAATATTGCCCATTAAAAAAATTTTTAATGAAAAAAAAACCATGGTTTTATTATATTGCACACTAATGTTAATTAAATTTTTATCTATCGTACATTGCAATAGGAATAAAATTTACTAAATTCAGGTTTTTAAATAAAAAGAGTTTTATTAAAATTTGTATTTCTTCATAAAGGATTTGTAAAGAGGAGGTTCCGCTAATTTACCTCAGGCTTACCTTAAGCTCGTCATCATAAGCGTTTTCGATTGGCAATATCTGATCACGTAATGTTTATCACATGACATTCTTCCAGTCAATTAACACTAATTTAAAAATAATAAAATCTAAATCTAAAGTGAAAATTATCATTTAATAAATTACGAACATAACTTCATATTTTTTTTTAATTTTATAATGACTATTAAATATTTCATAAGAATTAAAAAAATTCCAACAATCCAGTTCTATTTTTCAAAGTGTTCTTTTAGTTTTTTACTTTTGATTGATTCAAACTAATTTATACTTTTTGACTAATATTATTTTTACTTATTTAAGGTGATTTAATCGTTTTTAGTAAATGATGTCATAGTACACATTAAAAAATCGTAATAGTCATGGTTTTCCATTAATATTAAAAATTTTTTTATATACATAATCAAACAAACACATTTTAGTAGATTTAATATTTAAATATATGGATGATTAATTATGTTTTTAACTTAATGAAATTCATTCAACAATAATTTTTTCTCTAAAACCAAATGTTGGATTGAAATGTGGCGCAGCATCGAAGAACTATTTTATAATTTGTATAAATTAATTTAATATTAATTGTCATTATAAAATAATTAAAAATTAAAAATAAATAAAACATACTTACTATAAATATTTTAAATTCATATGATTATGACCAAAATTTATTTGATCATCACATGCACATACAGTACATAAATGAAATTCCAATTTAGGGTTCATTGAAAAAAAAAAATTCATGAACAATGGAAATATTTTAAACCAAACTTTTACGTATTAAAGAAGACAATCTTCTCGCATTTTATCACTTTACTTCTAGTGACAAAATGCTTAGTAAAAGAATTATCAAAGTATGAGCGTTTATTGTTATTCATTTAGTTTCATTTTACGTAGATGAAATTTTTTTTTTCAGTAGCGACTAATTAATTCACTCTCATTGCTATTTTATATTTGTATATCACATACTAGGAAACTGAGAGAATATATTCGAACCCGCCACCATATATTAGTAGTGTTTGTTTGGTTCAAGGCAATTTACGTCATTTTGAAGCAAAAATAACGGGTCCTGTATGTATTTTTAACAGCTTATGTTCAAATATAAATGCGGCTAATTTTAATCCAACTATTTTTCTAAATTATTAGCCTGACACTCCATATGAGGGTGGTGTATTTCTCCTTGATATAAATATTCCAACAGATTATCCAATGTGTCCACCAATGGTATGTTTTATTTATACAGTTTTGTAAATTTCAATAATATATTTATTCATGTATATTATATTAGGTAAAATTTATAACAAAAATCTACCATCCAAATATCGATAGAAATGGATTTATATGCTTGGATATTTTAATGGACAATTGGCGTCCTTACTTGAATATTGCGGGTGGTAATTTTAGAAAATTTAATATAACAAATGTTTTACATTATAATAAACATTAATCTTTAATTAAATCTTTTATTTTATCAAGCACTCTTGTCAATTGTTTCATTTTTGACTGATCCAAATCCAGGTATACTACTATTTTATATTATCATCCATATTTATATTTGCTTGATACCGTCAATTAAAAATAATTTTAACAATAAACAAGTTAAAAATAAATGGGAGTTCTTACTTTTGAATTAATCTTTAATATTAATTTAAATATAATGATTTTATTAAGTTTATAATTTTGTATAAACGTTTTTAAATGCTTTTCAATCAGATTGTGTAATAGATGTAAGTCCAGAAATATCACGTTTATACAAGGATGATTATGATCGCTATGAAGCTACTGTTAGGGAATGGACTCGTAAATATGCTATGGGTGAGTATTTAAAAGGGTTGACATTCTTAATGTTTGTTTTTTTATGATTTTTATTATTTTGTTCAATTTTTAACATCCTTTTCCAAATAAGGTGATTATTCAAGTATTTTTGATGAAGAACAGCTTCTTGATGCACTGTACAGTGTAGGTAATGCTGCCGATGAATGGATTTTGAAATATTGGAAAGGAGAAACCAAGGAAATAAATGGTACACTTTGCAAATTAATGGTTTGTATAGTGAAAGATTCTGATGATTCTCCTTGTGGCAAAACTTATGTCATAAGTGATGAGCTAATTAAAAATGCAATAATTCATTTAATAAACTGTCACAACATCACAAAAGTAAGCAAGGCTTGTTTTTTAATAATTAATTGAATAATTGTTAATATAATATTAAATAATTTGTAATTTAAAATAAATTAATAATCACCAAATCTTCTTTCCATAGCCAAAAACTTTCAAAAAACAACAAGTATTAGAACCAAACAAGCATCCTGAAGATAAACAAGAAAAATTATGGAAATTATTTACTGATTGGATAATAGATGATTCTCAATCTATTAACGCTATTACAAATCCAAGATTTAATCAATTTATTTATAATCTTGATCCTGCTTTTGTTATGCCATGTCAAGAAACTATAAATTCAATCGTTTATGAATCCTATAATTCTTCATTTTTACAACTTCAACAATTTATCAAAAATAATGCTACATCTATTTCTCTTGCAGTAGATATCTGGACAGTTAAAAATAGTCAAGGTTATTTAGGTATAACATGCTCATTTTTGGATAAAAAATTTGAATTGCATGAAATTACTTTAGATATTGCTTATATCAAATATCCCTATACTTCAGAATATATATTGGATGCTTTTGAAGATATATTATCCAGATGGAAAATTCGTGATTTAATATTTACTATTACAACCACTAATAGAAGTAATATTAAAAAGGCAATTCTTGATATGGAAAATGTAAATTGGTTAGGATGTACATCACATACGTTACAATTAATAATTGAAAAGTCAATTAAACCAGCTGAAGTATTAATAGCACGTGCTAAGTATTATGCAGATTGTTTAAAGCAAAATGAATTTCTTGAAGAGGATAATGAGAAAATTGTAAGTATATTAAGTAACATTTAAGTATTCTTATAATAATTTAAGAAATTGTATTAATAATTAAATATATATATTATAGAATTCTGCAGAACTTTTACAAACTGTTATGAACTTTCCAACTCAATGGGATTTTGAAAATCTTGCCAAAAAAGATTTAATAAAATCTGAAAAAATCAGGTTGACCCAAGATGAAGAGAAATTAATTCAGGAACTTAAATCAATTTTAGACCCATTTTCAGAAATTATTGAGCTTTTGAAAGGAAATTGTACTTATTCTTTAATTAGTCCTTTATTACTTGAGATTAAGAATAAATTTTATTCAGAAGATGTGAATACAGTGGAAATTAATTTTGAAGATGAAGGTCAAGAAGCGAAGGATTCTAATAAGAATAACTATAGAATTCAAATTAATGAACCTGTGGATTGTACTGGCCTTATTGATAAGATAAAGCTCAATCTTTCTGTTGCTATTGATCATTATTGGAAAGATTTATTAGATCCAAATCTGATTCTTTTTAGCATTTTAGATCCTAGAATAAAAAGATTATCCTTTATATCTACATCAAAAAGATATGAAGTTGAAAATTTATTACATGAAAAGTATAAAGAAATGAAATCAGTTACAGAAACCAAAACTAATCATATAAATGAAAATGAGCAAAAACAAAAGAGGACAAATTCAATCTTAGCTAGTTTAAAGAAATCATCATCTACAATACGTGCTGTTGAGGTTTCTGAATATTTACATTTGGAAGAAATTGATTTGGATAGCAACCCTTTTACATGGTGGAAAGAAAGAAAAGAAAAATTTCCTATTTTATACCATTTTGCTATAAAGTATTTATCTGTCTATGCAACTTCTACTATTAATGAAAAATTGTTTTCTGATATAAATAATTCAATTTATAAAAATAATTCTGAATTATTTAAATATTTGATATTTTTAAAGCAAAATAATAAGAATCTAGAATCAATTAATAATAATGTTTGAGTTAGTTCATTTGATATTTCTTTTATTACTATACTATATATATCTTTTATTGATATGTAGTTTAAAGACATTATAAATTAAATATATTCTTTTCTTTTGATTCTTGTTATATTATTTATATTATTTACCATTTTGTTAAAATATTACAACTTCCCGCCAATTGTTTTAATGAAATTTTTTTTTGAATATTTAGATTTACTACATATTATGTTATTTAACAAATCTGATTTGGTATAAAATTTGTGTTTCTAAATATAAAATTGGGTTTAGTCAGAAAATACATTATTGAGCATCATATATAAACTCTAACTAAATAATAGAAGCGAGATTATATTTTCTGTTATTAGAGGTTGGAACCGGTCCGAAATGTTAAACTCAATCCTAGTCAGCATTAAAATTCGGCCAGGATTAGCATCAAATATATTTTTAATCCCGGCAGACCAAAAATCTATCAGTTCAAAACGAAACTCTGGCCGAAATTCAAGCTGAAATTGTCTGACCGGCACTATAAATTTCGGTCTGTGTAATGAATTTTATATAACACAAAAATTCCACTGCTGGTATGTGTAGCTCTCTTATAAACTTTTGTCTGAAGTCCTGTGATTTATAATTCTGGCCGGCACTGTAAATTTGGCCAGAATTACAAAATATTTTCAGCATTTTAACTGGTTATAAATTGTTTTTTAACCGATTAATCATTTTAACCGGTTCCAACCTCTGTTATCAATGATAATTAATATTTAAGTTTCATAGTAAACTGTAAAAATGAGTTTATAGCTAAACACATTTATATTACACAAATTATCAAAGGCATGTTTTTTAATTACCACTGCTGGTGATATAAATATAAGCTTCCTTTGATCCAATGGTTATACATTTTCAATATTATAATAGTATCATGTTCACTTCAGAAAAGCAGCTGAATTGTACTCAGCAAAATGTAAAAAATTAAAGCTATTTTAACAATAATAATAAGCGCAGATAGACAGATACTGTAGTTTGGTTATAAAAAAAAATTAGGTTTAAAATTGATTGACTTTTTTTTTGATAGCATAACTTCATATTATAATTTAATACATTATGTTCTTTTAAATTTATTTGATAATAAAATAAATTTTAATTTTTAAATATTTTTGAAATAAACTCAAATATGCTATCAAAATTGTTGAAAGAATGTTTGCATGAATATAAATGTGATTAACCAAAATGCTTAATTTGTGATGTCATTTTTTAATAACATTATATTAATTGTAGTGCATGATAGTCCGTTCAGTATTAGCCTGATTTTTGTAATGATTATTTATGATCGTGATACAAACAGAAATCCCCACTCCGAGCTAAAAAAATATAAATGGACATATTCTTGAATTTTTGTTCAAAAGTTATGATTATGTCATCCATTTGACATGTTTAGCCCATACTGCACATATACATTATACAGTACATTAACTGATTATAATGATAATTTAGACAAATGATCTTACATTGTATTATGAATTTATATATTTGTTTTAATGAAGTGAAAAGAAGCATTTGTGAACAGTGTTGTTAAATTGCCATGTCATTTGCCCATTTTTCAAATGACATTTGTCATTTCTCATACTTTTTCATAGTAAAATCGATGTCATTTAATATCATTTGATGTCACCCTACTATAAAAAAGGAATGTTCAGAAAACATAGATAAAATAAACATAAAATGTACATTATACATAAAATGTCTATAGAATGTCCAGATTACATAGGATATATGCAAAGGGGACTCATATACTTTTTTGTACATTTTATATACAGTGAGCCCATTTTGTATATTTTTTATATATTTTATGGACATTCTATAGACATTTTATGTATATTGTATATTTTACGTATATATTCTAAACATTCCTTTTTTATAGGGTCATTTCAATGTCATTTCAGTGTCATTTGACAACACTGTTTGTGAAAATTATCAAGCAAGAATATTTAGCAAAATTATATTGTGAATATTGTATTAGAAATTATTTAAAAGCAAAATTTTTAAATTAGAAATAATAATATTGATTATTTAATGCAGAAATATTAAATGAAATCACTTGCTCCAAGTCTAAATATTGGATATTTAATTAATGGTAATTACTCTGAAATTTGTGAAACAGAATGGAACGTTATGAATGGAATTCTAAGGAGCAACAATTAGAAATATGTATATAATATATATATTATATAAGATATATAAGATATGGAACTATGAAAGTTATACTAAAAGTTAGAAATTGTTGAAAGAACTAATAGAAGTTGGTTTGATGAGGTATGTAATTAAAAAGAATATTTTTTAAAAAAAATCCAATTTTAATATTTTAAACCTTCTTAGGCCAAATCTCACCTAACACTAGTTAACAAATGGACAACAATTATGGCACAATGTTATGGCAACTAAAGACCAATTAGATGGAAATTATAAACTTGTAATTAGAAAATTGGTTACAAATTTGAGAGAATATTTAAAACAAAAATATAAATTTATAACCATCTTTCATGGAAAGAGAATTACATATCATGTATTCAATTTATGCACTTTATGAAAAGGATATAATAAAGCAACTGATATACTATATAGTATTACAATGATAATGTTGTAAATTTTATCTAGATAACACATTTACTAATTGTGAAAACAATTATAATAAATATTACCAATGGTATGAAACCAAAGGTTATAACAGCAATTAAAGAATTGATAACAAAAAAGCATAACATCAGATAAAATTAGAAAAACTTATAAATTATATTATCAAGACATACCATATGGTTTTATTAATAAGATAAATGAATAAATACATGCAAGTTACCCAATAATAAGGCCAGTATTACTTAAAATTTTGTTTAACATTATTTCAATGCCTACTCGCTCCTAGTATTCTTTCATTTTATCATATTTATAACTTTATCAAATTAATCAAAAATTTCAGTTCACTGACTACTGGAAATAAAAAGGATTAATGATAATTGAAATTTTAAATTATAATAATTATAATAGAGAAAAAAAATAATATATAGTATATAAATTCTACACTAAATATGGTTATAATTGGTCTAAATTTTTTCTTTGCCTTCAGATTTGCTATTTTGGTCTATAAAATAAACAAATAAAATAAGTACATTATACTTATAATAACATTGTTTTTATTTGTATCTAAGAAATAGTTACCATCTTTACTAATATTCAGTCGAGAAATATCAATTTGCAGAGATTCTATTTAATGAATAAAAAAATTAGTACTATTTTTAAATGATAATTTGAATATTTTTGATAATTAACACCTATACTAATCATATCATTTTTTTTTGTAAAATTCATCAGAATTATTTAACTCAAGAATATTATTATTATCAGGATTTTATTTGATAATTAAATCTTATTAGCATCTTTTCAAATTAATATGAAATTTTTATCAATAAATACCTGAAAATTTCATGCTAATTATATTATTATTTTTTTCATAATAATCATCAGAATTTTTTGGCTCTGGAAGATTACTAAAATTAAGTAATCTACTGGTATAAATTGCTTCTGAATGTGTTTTGTATGATATTCCTAGACTAGTAGTACTATTATTAATCAGTGATTTTTTATTAATTATTTCTGCTTCTTCTATTTGATTGTTTATCTCTGCATAACCATTAGATTTAGGATCATATGATTCTCTAAACCAATTGCCTAAAGTTTTTTCGATTTCTTCTGCTTTTGGTCGATTAAATTGATTTGCATCCAAGCATTTTTTGATTAGATGCACTATCAATTTGGGTACTTTGATATTAAACCTTGGTCTAAGTCCTTTACAAATTTTTACTGCTAAATTTATATCATGACCTACATCATAATATGGAGGTAATCCAGAAATTACTTCATACATAATTATACCAAAACTATAAATATCCGCAGCTTTGGTATAATTTTGTCCACGTAAAATTTCAGGAGCAATATAAGGTAAAATACCATATATTTTGTTTTTTGCATTTTCTGGTGCATTATAATTTGCAGGTTTACATAATCCCATATCAGTTATACAAGTGTGGTTTTTAAACCTTAATATATTACCAATATGCAAATCTCGATGAATTAATTCTTTTTCATGTATATCTCTAAGTCCATGGGCAATTTTATGTAAATAGCTGATCTTATTATTCCAATTTAAATAATTATATTTTATATCTAGGAAATTTCGTAAATTCCCATGCTCTGCATAATCTAAAACCATAATGTAATTTTTTTCTTTTGGATCTTGAGTTATTCCATAAAGTTTAATAATACACTTGTACGAATTTATTTTGTAATGTAATGTAATCTGTATATTATAAATAAGTATAAATACCAATAATTAAATAACTTATATTGAGTAATAATTAACTAATTTACCTCATTCATAAATTCCAATGTAACATTTTTTGAATTATTTAAACTTTTCAAAGCTATGACCATGTTTTGATTCTTTCTTTTCCAATTTTGATTATAATCATCCCATTCGTCTATGTAACCATCAATCCATTTTGCTCTATATACTTTTCCAAACCCACCTTTTGCAATATATTTAATTTCATAAAATCTATCATAAGGTATCCATTCTAATACATTATTTGTATATGATTTTTGAGCATCTTGTATAAATTTATCGATGTCATTATTACCACTAGTCCAATTTTTGAAATTTTGTTGAAAACGCATTGTATTACACACATATTTTCCATATATATTATTCAAAATCCCCATATAATTCTTTGTTTCTGGATCTTGAGTTATTCCGCGAACTTCATGAGGTATTGCAATCTGTAATATAATAAAATGAATAATATTAATAAAAATAAAATTTTTAACTAGTATTTACTCTTTTAAATGATTGGTATCACATTAATGGTGCGGTACAATGTGATTAATTTGTATTACAATTTTTTTAAAAAATGAAACTCTTACGAAATAACACATTTATTATTCCTTATTAATAAATTCTAATGTAATACTTACTTGATTATCTAAAATTTTCAGAATTACAAACACATTTTGATCTTCTCTTTCCCAATTTTGATTATAATCATCCCATATATGTATATATCCATCAATCCAATTTGCTCTATACAATTTTCCAAGCTCATCATCTTCTCCAATATATTTAATATCATAAAGTCTATTATAAGGTATCCATTCCAATGCATTTTTTATCTCATAACAAGTACGTTCAGATAGCTGAGTATTTTGAATAAACTTATCAATATAATTATTACCACTAGTCCAATTTTTAAAATTACATTGAAAATGTATTGAATTGTACACTTTTTTCAATACTACCATAAAGTTCTTGATTTCTGGAACTTGAGTTATTCCATAAACTTCATGAGATACTGCAATCTACAATATAATAAAGTTAGTAATATTAGTAAAAATAAAAATTTCAACTAATTGTTTTCACAACTGACAATATTTTTTTCACAAAATGGCCACAGTACAATGTGATTACTTAGCTATCAGTGCCTATTTTTTTGATTACCATATAATAATTCTGTAATGTATATTTTGTAATAATTGACAATATGATTGCTATTATAATTTAATATATATTAAAATACCATATTACAATGAAATGTAAAAAAATAATAATTTTGTAATATATGACAATTATCCTTTTATATTAATTACAATATTAATATTAAATATCATACTTGTTTATAGACTTATTAATATATATATTATTAAATATGATATTTACATAACATATCAAAAATTCCTATTAATATTATTTAAAAAGCATTATAAAAAACTACCAAAAAAATCACCACTGATAGCAAAGTAATTATTATTTTGATCCACAAGAAAATGAAACTTTTAATAAATTTATTATACCTTATTCATAAATTCTAACGTAATACTTGCTGGACTATTTAAAATTTTCAGAAATACAAACATATTTTGATCTTCTCTTTCCCAATTTCGATTTTCATAATTCCAACTATTATCACAATAACAAACTTTAATGCATCCGTCAATCCAATTTGCTCTGTACACTTTGCCAAACTCATCATCTTCTGCAATATATTTAATATCATAAAGCCTATCATAAGGTATCCATTCTAATGCATTTTTTACCTCATAATAAGTATGTACTGGTAGCTGAGTATCCTGAATAAATTCATCAATATCATTATTACCACTAGTCCAATTTTTAAAATTTTGTTGAAAATGTATTGAATTACACACTTCATTACATCTTTCACACATATCATTCAAAACCACCATAAAATTCTTTGTTTCTGAATCTCGAGTTATTCCATAAACTTTATGAGATACTGCAATCTACAATATATTAAAGTTAGAAATATATATTGAAATATTAATAAAAATAAAATTTTAACTATTTGTTTTTAGTGAATCTATTCCTCACCCTGGGCGAGACTTGATATTCCTCACCCCAAGTTGTAAATTGTCAATAATTTATTTATGACCTTCTTAAGGTATTAAGTAAAGTTGTAGAGCAGGCAAAATCACCTATAAGTTATGATTTTGAAGACTATACGAAGATTTAAAAAAAAAATCTTTTTTGTCAAAAATTACGTTGTTCCTATTTTGAAATTATCGGAAAATGATCGCATGACATCATTTTATAGGGTGAGAAATCACCCAGATGAGAAATAAATTTTTAACCAACTGGCAACTTAATTCACAAAATAGTGATAAATTATACCTTATTTATAAATTCTAGTGTAACACTTGCTGGATTATTTAAAATTTTCAGAATCACAAACACATTTTGTTCTTTTCTTTCCCAATTTTGATTATAATTATTCCACATATATATAAATCCATCAATCCAATTTCCTCTATACCATTTTCCAAGCTCATCATCTTCTGCAATATATTTAATATCATAAAGTCTATTATAAGGTATCCATTCTAATGCATTTTTTACCTCATAACAAGTACGTTCAGATAGCTGAGTATTTTGAATAAACTTATCAATATAATTATTACCACTAGTCCAATTTTTAAAATTACATTGAAAATGTATTGAATTGTACACTTTTTTCAAAACCACCATGAAGTTCTTGATTTCTGGATCTTGGGTTATTCCATAAACTTCATGAGATGCTGCAATCTATAATATATTTAAAGAAGTAATATTAGTAAAAATAAAATTTCAATTAATTGTTTACAATTTTTTTTCACAAAAGCCACAGGACAATGTGATTAATTTATATTTCAATCCACAAAAAAATGAAACTTTAATAAATTTTTTATACCTTATTTATAAATGCTAAAGTAATAATTGCTAGATTATTTGAAATTTTCAGAAATACAAACATATTTTGGCCTTTTCTTTCCCAATTTTGATCTTTATTATCCCAATTACTCAAAATATTATCATTTATACATCCATCAGTCCAATTTGCTCTGTACACTTTACCAAATTCATCATCATCTGCAATATATTCAATATCATAAAGTCTATCATAAGGTATCCATTCTAATGCATTTTTTACCTCATAACAAGTATGTTCAGATAACTGAGTATCTTGAATAAATTTATCAATATCATTATTACCACTAGTCCAATTTTTAAAATTTTGTTGAAAGTGTATTGAATTACACACTTTGTTACATTTTTCACATGTATATTCCATAACTACCATAAAATTCTTTGTTTCTGAATCTTGAGTTATTCCATAAACTTTATGAGATATAGCAATCTACAATATATTAAAGTTAGAAAATTAAATTTCAGCTATTTGCTTTTAGACAACTAGCAACATATTTCACAAAATGATACAGTACAATGTGATTAATTTATATTATAATTGAAACTTTTGATAAATTTAATATACCTTATTTATAAATTCTAGTGTAATACTTGCTGGATTATTTAAAGTTTTCAGAATTACAAACATATTTTGATCTTTTCTTATCCAATTTTGATTATAATTATTCCACATGAGATATATAAATCCATCAGTCCAATTTCCTCTATATAATTTTCCAAGCTTATCATCTTCTGCAATATATTTAATATCATAAAGTCTATCATAAGGTATCCATTCTAATGCATTTTTTACCTCATAATAAGTATGTACTGATAGCTGAGTATCTTGAATAAATTTATCAATCTCACTATTATCGCTAGTCCAATTTTTAAAATTTTGTTGAAAGTATATTGAATTACACACTTTATTACATTTTTTACATTTATATTCTAAAACCACCATAAAATTCTTTGTTTCTGAATCTTGAGTTATCCCATAAACTTTATAAGATACTGCAATCTACAATATATAAAGGAAATATTAGCAAAAATAAAATTTTCAATTATTTGTTTTTAAAAAACTGATAATTTTTTTCACAAGTGACCATATACAATGTGATTATTACATATTATAATTCAAATAAATGAAACTTTTGATAAATTTATTATACCTTATTTACAAGTTCTAATGCAACACTTGCTGGATTATTTAAAATTTTCAGAATTACAAACATATTTTGACCTCTTCTTTTCCAATTTTGATTTTCATAACACCAACTACTGTCAACAAAAAAATCATCAATACATCCATCAACCCAATTTGCTCTGTACACTTTGCCAAACTCATCATCTTCTGCAATATATGTAATATTATAAAGTCTATCATAAGGTATCCATTCTAACGCATTTGCTACCAAAACTGTATGTTCTGACTGCTGAGTATTTTGGATAAACTTATCAATGTGATCATTTTCGCTAGTCCAATTTTTAAAATTTTGTTTAAAGTGTTTTGCATTACATTCAAAATTACAATTACATGACTTAATCGGCTTTTTAGCACTTTCAATAAAAGAATCCATTGAAGTTTTTTAAACTAAATTTATAATTAATACATGTAAAAGCAGAAATTAAAAAATTTTGGTCCGATGCTTTATAAATCTTTAAATAAATAAAATCAAGAACAATACTTATGCATAATTATGTATTGCTGATCTAACATGATGTGGGCTGAAAATTTTACAACCGATTATTCGCCAATCATTTTCAATTTACAATTGCACGACTTGCACGTAGATGAACAATTTTTAGGTATTATGACATATAATTTATTTTGTAAAGTTATAAACTAATTATCCATTATCTAAAACTTAATAATGTAATAAATATCAGTCATTAATATATTTAATAGGACCCAGAATATATATATATATAAGGGTCAGGTTTGAGTTTGCGTATTTTGAACTAAAAAAATCATGAAAATCTTTCCTTTTTTAGATAATTTTTGATAATTCCAGTCAAAATTTTATTTCCTATTATAGGAACCGACTGACATTATCATAATTCCGGCCCTGAAAAAATGCGTACAGTTCATAGTAAAAAATTTTTTTCATTACCTGACCCCCTATATATAGGTCCTTAATGTGGAAATAACTTTTATTCTAAAAACTTAGTCTAAATGGTTAAATCTATTAATTTATATAATTTTATATAAATTTATGTAAGAAATTATTTAACTTTATATAAAAATTATAAATTTATAGGCGGATTGCTCACTTTTTTTTAAGTTCTATTTAGTTTGTAAGAAAAAATAAGCTTTAAGTTTGTAGTTTAAAATAACTTCATTATCTTTATTTAATTAAGTCTAAAAGTTTACTTCAATAGGTTAATACCTGTTGTTATCACATGAATTTTTAAATTTTCTATGTTCAATACTAATAATTAATTTTTTACAAGTTACTTGGTCGTTAACAATCGTTAAAAAGTAAAAATGCTTACTTATTTCCACTCATTTGAACATTTTATAACTTCGCACTTATGTGCTATAGAGTGAATAGATCACATGAATTTTAGTTAATGCGTCATAAATAACTTTATTTAAAAATACACAAATTAATTTAAATAAACCTGCTTCAATTAGATGATTTATTTGAGTTGTCAAATATCCACTCAACAACAAATTTTTTAAACAAAAAAAAATTCTTTAAATTCTTATTCTTTATTCAATATATTTTTACAATAACAAATTAGAGTTTCGGAATAAAAAATAGCGCCAATTTGAGAATTTGAAATTAACTAATTTTTGAAAGAAAAATAATGATTTAAAACATTAAAATTAATCCAAGATAGAAAAATAACTTTCTATTTAAAGTATCTAAATTAGTAACTTTATTTCAGTCCTGATATAATGTAAAGTACAATAGATAAAGTCTATCACTATTTTTGCATTTTATAAAAAATTTGTAAATTACCTCCGTCAATATTGGCGTTTCTAATTGGGCGATACCGAAACACGTGATGATTATCACATGATCTTTACATCATTTTCCATTTTTGGCCACTCCAATTTAATAGTTTGTTTAACGTACCCTACCCCCCTCATTTTTGAAAAATTTTTAAAAATAAACAAACATATGTTATATCATGTGACTTATAATAGCATCACCGATCTGTATAATATTTAAAAGAATTTCTTTCCAGTGTATTTTGAATCTACCAAAGCAAATGGTATAATTAATAAAAGTAATATATGTAAACTTATTAATTGCTTTATCTGTAATAAATTAAGATGTATTTTTAGTAAAAATGCATTGAGTGATAAAGAAAAAACTATGTTTATTTTTAAATGTTTACTTAATTTGACCCCCTCCCCCCCCCCCTCAATTTTTATATAAAGTTAGGATGTTAGACAAACTATTAAATTGGAGCAGCCTTTCCATTCTCACCGTCAATTTTAACCCAAACGAATAAAATAGTAATACTAAATCTAAAGTCAATATTATAAAACTGTCATTTAAATTAATGAACCATAAATTCATGTCTAATTTAATAAAACTTATCAAATATTTTGATTTTAAAATACATTAAAATTTCAAAATTTAGCAAGAATAAAATTTTCCAAGGATTCTATTCTTCTAATATTTTTTTTTTTATTTTACTTTTGATCGATTTATTGCAAATTATCTCAATATGAAATAACTAGCAAAATAAAAATGGTACTATAAAAGTTAAACTCACATGGTAATCATAGATACATATACTACATTACATTGTTAACGGCGGGCACGTCTCAGACTCTGTCAACTATATTACATATTAGAAAGACAATAGTTTTAACATAGACTCTATCAGTAAGACACACAAAAACAATACACAAAAATATAACACAATCGCACAGTTCGTTTTTAATACAAGAGTTTATTGAAAGTTAATCTCAAACTTATATTTTATTTTATATAAATATACTTAAAAATAAATATAACGTAAATAAAATTTGATTACTTATATTACTTAATCATCTGATTTCTATTAAGTGATTTTTACTGCGCCTTGATCTACGTAAATGAAATTCCACTTTAGGATTCATTGAAAAAAAAAGTTCACATGACGATGGGAATATTTAAATAAATAAAAAATTTGCGCTTTAAGGAGACAAACTTCTCCACTTTTTCTAACGAGAAAAATGACACTTAAATCTATTAATAATGTATATTTATAATTATTTTATTTACAGTGTACTTTATATGAATTTCTTTATTCTCGACTACGTCTTTTGGATAAGATATTAATTAATCTATTCTCCTTTTTCTATATATAATCTGTTAGTATTGTAAAGGTTTATTAAATAATCCACCACCAGGTATTAGTGGCAATCCTGTTGAAGATGATCTTTTTCATTGGAAAGCAACAATTATGGGTCCTGTATGTATTTTTTATCGTATTAACAGCTTATGTTCAAATGCAAATGCGTAGTGATGTACGGCTGATTTAATTCAGCTATTTTTCTTTGATATTAAAATTTTATTAGCCTGACTCCCCATATGAAGGTTGTGTATTTTACCTTGATATTCATTTTCCAGAAGATTTTCCATTTAAACCACCAAGGGTATGTTTGTCATGTATCCAGTTTCGTAAGCTTCAATTATATACTTACTAATGTATATTATACTAGGTTAGATTTATAACAAAAATCTACCATCCAAATATCGATAGTAATGGACATATAGACTTGGATATTTTAAAATATAATTGGTCGCCGGCTCTTTCTACCTCAAATTGTAATTTTATAATATTTATTATAAAAATTGTATCACATTCTAATAATCATTAATCTTAATCAAATCTTTTATTCTATCAAGTACTCTTGTCAATTTGTTCATTTTTGACTGATCCAAATCCAGGTATACTATATTATGTCACCATCTACATTTTATATTTGCTTGCCACTCAATCAAAAATAATTAAACAATGAATTAGATTGTGGTTTAACCGAAATATCAAATCTATACAAGAATGATCGTAATCGTTATGAAGCTATTGTTAGGGAATGGACTCGTAAATATGCTTCGGGTGAGTATCCTTTAATTAGAAATCTTAAAAGCCTCAATGTTTGTTTTTAAAGATTATATAATTTTGTTTATTTTTAAAGAATAAAAAAAATTAAAATAAATGACAAAAGCGATTTTTACCTTTTTATTCAGGAGATAGTGAACCAATGTCGAGACCCAATATTGAAGAAGTATATGAAATTTTAAATGCAGGTACAAAATAATTTAATTTAAACAAAGAATTTAGCAAGAAACTGATGATACATTTTAAATATAATAGATAAGCCCGAATCAGAAAAAAATTGTTATATAGATTGGTTTGAAAAATCAATTGCCGAAGAATCTATCACATATTATGAATATTCAGAATTTAAAAACATACAATATATAGGAAAAGGTTTATTTGGGAGCATCGATCGTGCTTTTTGGAAAAATACTGATCAAGTTTTTGCATTAAAATGTTTCAATGGTGATAAGACAACACTAAAAGAAATTTGTTAATGAGGTATTGAATTCATAATAATTTAATAATTTTAATTTTTTTTTTAATTTTTATTAATTAATTCTTTTACAGATAAAATTACAAAAAAGGGTGGATTTTCATGAAAATATTTTACGGTTTCATGGAATCACGAAAATAGGAAAAAATAGTATGTCTTTTTTATGTATTATATATATTATTAATTAAGGAATTTTTTTTAATGAACTTAACCTTAATGCATATTTAGATATAAATCAAGAATACGCATTGGTTTTGGAATATGCTGATAGTGATACACTAAATACTTATTTACAGCGTAATTTTAATAAGCTTGAATGGAATGATAAATATCGGTTTGCGTTACAACTGGCAAGTGCGGTAGCGTGTATACACGAATGTGATATTATTCATCGTGATTTGGTAATAATTTAATATCTTCTGGTTTTTATTGATTCTATCTATTAGTATTAAACTTTTCTCATTTAATTAAAATAGCATGCTGGTAATGTATTTGTACACCAAAAAAAGTTAAAATTGGCGGATTTTGGCTTATCAAGAAAGATTGCCGTATCAAGCAATAATATAAAAATATTTGGTTCTATACCTTACATTGATCCCAAAGGGTTAGAAGATCAGCAAAATTATAAATTAACTAAAAAGTCTGATGTATATAGCGTTGGTGTTCTAATGTGGCAAATTTCAAGTGGATACCAACCATATAGAAATGATTATTATGACGTAAGATTAGCCGTAGCAATAGTAATGGGAAAAAGAGAAAAAATTATTGAAGAAACTCCTGCTGAATATAGTAAATTATATACAGGTACTATTATTTAATTATTATTTAATTAATTTAAAATTAAACTTTTATTAATTTATTTATTAGAATGTTGGAAATGTGAACCAGATGAACGTCCAAATATTCGAGATGTTGTTTCAATTCTTAAAACCTTGATCTCTCCCGAACAAAATGATACAAGATTTGATGACGTTTATAGAGAGGAAATTATTTCATTAGAAGAATATAAATCAAGTTCAGAATCGAGCGTAGGAGTAGATATAAATAAGAGTTTATCAGTGGGTTCAGCAGATTTTACCGCATCAAATAATGAGAGCAATTCAAGTTTGTAAAATCAAGTATCTGATTTTTAAACAAAAATATCAGGTACAGTAATTTATGTTAGCGTGCATAATTTTTTTTATACAAAAAAAAGTAGTTGATGTTGACTGTCACACTTAAAAATCAATCATTTAAGTTTTATTATTTATACGTCAAATATAAATCTTTTAATTAAAATCGTTCAACCACCCATTTTCAATTGTGTAGCACTACATCATCCTATATTGTATTAAGAACGCCAATTAGTTTTTTTTTTAAATTTGTTTAGGCTGCTCCAATCCAATTCTTATATTATTTTTAATTTAAGCAAATAATTATCAATTTTATTTTATTTTTTTTGGCTGGATATACTTGTTCTAACTAAAAAAATCATAATAAACATATTTATTTATCAAAAAATATAATTATATTGCAGTGATGACCTTGATCCAATATAAAAGATGGAAAATGAATAATTAGCGAAAAAATAATTTGGAAAAAAATTTTTATTAAAATAAAGAATCACTTACCAATAACACTGCAGCATTCTGATCTAGATATAATATACTTATATAATGATAATAAAAAAAATATATAAAATTAAATAAAAAAATTATACATAAAAATAGTATAGATAATAAAGGAAAAAAAAATTTAAGATAAAACATTAAGATAAACAAATCGAAAAAAAATCAAAAATCTAAACAACTTGGAAAATTTCCATGTTTTGGGGCAATAAATTCCGTGAATATGATAGATTTACGGGTATAGCATGGAATAAAAAAAAAACACGGAAAAATTTTTTTATAGGAAAAGTGAAAAAACAATTTTTCGTTAGAAAAACTCATTAACTGGCATTTGGATTAGCCACACAAATTTCACTGATTGGCCATTGGAACTTACGCATGACCCAATAGCATCACTAAATTTCCAGGCAGATCGGCAACCATTATTGGACATATGTCCACTAACTGTCCATTGACGGACCCTCCGTAGGTTGGACGTTATATTATGTACGTCTATGGACGTTCGATCTGTTAAAAAAATTATTTAATATTAAATAGTTTTAATATTAACTAGCCAGTAGTTTATAATCGAGTACCCACGAGCATATTGATTTGGCTGATTGACGGGTGTTGTGTAACTAACGCATTTAGCTAGGATCATAGTATATAATTCATTTCTTTGATGTTCATAAAAATAAAAGAAGGTTTATTAAAATAAGAAGAAAGACAATTGACTAATACAAGTAATCCAATCAGACATGAATAAAGTATAGGAACACTGTGGCATATACGATCAGACATGAATAAAGAATTAAACAATCATGGGTAAAGGTTTAATCAGGCGTGAATATAACAGCATCACTACCCTGGTATGCAGTTACCAGACATACATGAATAAAGGGTCCATTAATACCTAAATTACTTCATCATGATTCTTAAGCTAAATAAATGACCTTTTGCGTACTCTCCTTCTCACTGGTCTACAGTGTTATATTAATATAAAATTAACTACTATATATCTTGATATAACAAAGATAATAGGTAAAACAAATATAATAACTATACACTGTAATACATAACTAATATAACTAATATAACTAATAATAAATTATACATATAATATATACCAGGTAAAATAGATATAACGAGTAAAATAAATATACTATATGATCTTTGTGATAAATCAAACATTCGTGACATCGGTGATATTAGTGACATTGATCTACACTGTTCATTTGTTCTATAAAATTGTCAGGATGACCAATCACGTGACATCACTAATCACATAATAATATCAGTAAATTTATTATATATTATATTTTATTTTAATAAATCGATTTATTTATGATTGATAAATAAGATAAATATAAGTAATTTTATTTGATTGATATTATAAAAAAGTTTATGAAAACACATGAGGGTTGGTAGTGGCAATTGTGTTTAACCTTTGATATTCTAAGATGACATTAGGATCAACCATAAAGGCTGATCTATCAAGGTGAGAAATGCTGACATTATTCCAAGTAGTACACCTGCTAAGGGCTACATAAGCTTGACCAGGAGAGAAGATACCCCCATCTAAGGCAAGAGAAACTTTTTGTAAGGTCAAGCCTTGAGTTTTATGAACAGTGAGCGCAAAACAATTTTGTAAGGGAAATTGAGTGCGCCGAGAATTATTTCCGTTAATATTAAAATAATGATTTTGTCTGTAAATGTCAATATCAATTAGTGATCCTCTAACTGAAAAAGCAACGCGTGCATATTGATCTGTAGGATTGACATCTGTAACTACACCTATAGTTCCATTACATATACCATATTCAATAAGAGAATTATTTAGATACATAACACGAGCGCAAGGTTGCAAGCGTACAAAAGAAGGAAGATTTGTTTTTGACTTAAACATATGGTCAGAAAGAGAGGGATCCCATTGGTCGGAGTTTACAAAATCAGATGATTGTGAAAGTAAAAAGTTATTAGGAGGAACAGGAAGTACATTGCAGATGGATATATTAATTTTTTGAGCAGTTTCTTTGAATCCAACAATATGAGTAGTATTTAAAAGAGTATCAACTGATGGCTGTAATATAAACTCAGAATGACGATTAGTTAATATATTCCATGTTCGTGAAGATATGTTATTTATTTGCACTTCCTCCAAAATTTGGTAAAATAGGGGATCATTGTGTTGACGATGAGGAGTTGTTAAGAATAGAGGATAAAATAAGGTCCATACAGCGGAGCGAAAGACTGGTTGACCAGTGACAGGAGGAAGCTGGGCTAGATCACCTACTACAACAACATTTATACCACCAAATGCGAGGGCATTGTTATGGATTCTTGCAAATAGATTAGAAATGAAATCAAATAATTCAGCTGAAACCATTGAGATTTCTTCAATGATTAAGGTATCCACTTTTTTTAATCGTGCGTTTAATTGAGTATTTGTAAAGGAACGAGTGTAAAAACCTCCTTGTGTAGACGTGATTGATAATTCTGAGTGAATTGTAGTTCCACCTATATTTTGCGCAGATACTCCAGTAGGGGCCAGGAGGAGAAAGTTTGATTGCCTGTTATTAAGCATATTTACGATCATATTTATAATATATGATTTGCCAGTTCCTGCTGATCCAGTTATAAAAAAGTATGGCCATCTGGTACCATCATTTCCTCCCATAAACGTATTGATGGTAGATAAGGCACGATACTGATCTCTAGGGAGCTCTAACATGGCAGTTTCTGGAAGTAATGGAGGAAGGAGTTTGAGATTTTGCATTTGAATTTGTATGATTTGAGTAATAGTTGCGGGAAGTTCATGATGTAAAGATTGAAGGAGCCTATCTAGCATTTCAATGAATCGGGTATTTAATTGTGTAATACATAGCTGCTGGGTAGTTCGAGCATTATTCTGTAATTCATTTAAAAAATCAGGAAATAGGGAGAGGAATTTCTCACGGTATGTTCCATTCGGTGTGATCTTATAATCAGACTCATTTCTTGCAGGTACGTTATGAAGCAATTGCTGGTAAAAATATAGTTCACCATCTTCAATTTTGAGAAATCGATACCTGACTATTATTTCTTTTGTACGTTTTACAACATAATTTCGCAAGTCATCTTGGTAAACAGTCCTTCTACTAGCCACAGGACGAGATGGGGTGATTGAGTATTTTTCAAAATATTGAGGGTAAGTAAGGGTTTCAAATTCGGGAAGATGAGGTCGAGACATGTATTTCATAATCGTGTCATCATAGAATGGGTTAGTATCCTCTTCCTCTAACATGTATATTGGTAATATTGTACGTGATCGTGTGGGAGGGGGTTCAGTAGTTATAAATTTAACGGTTGCAGATGAATTACAGATTGTATGACCTAGAAGGAGAAACATGAGCTCCATAGATCCAAGTCTTCGAGCGACAACGTGTTCCCTTAGTAGGTCATTCTCATTTATGTTAAAGACATGGGAGGGTTCTCTTTTTGCGATATATTTTGACATGTAGCGTGCGAATCCTCTGTCTGTTATGTATTGTGCATTCATATGCGCATCCCAGATCAGAAGAGTTGGAGCATGGTAGGGTACAACCCAGGAATCAGCCTCTGTCAAACATTTGTAAACATAGCGAACATTTCCTTCTTCGTAGTGTGTTGTCTGGCTAAAGGGTTGGGGAAAACCTTTTTTACAGGTTTGACCTAGCGGGGCGGGTCCTTGGCACTTTATATTACAGGTATGTATCTGATTAGCGATAACAGCAGAATATAGTTCAGGTTCAAGTAAAGGATCTGGGAGGGTTGAACGTATTACATCATTTAAAATCATCGTTTGAATGGAGTTGGAGGTCCAATAACAACTGTGCGTATGTGCAGCTCCTCTATTTTGAAATTCAACACGGTCAAAGAAATCAGTTATGTCACCGAAACCTGTAAGGTCTGGTTTTTTATATAACTCTTTCTTGAGCGATTGGAATTTATGTACAAAATAGTTAGCACAGTGAAATGGTCTGTTAGTGGGCAAGGTGTCATTATTATCACTATTGGAGAGAATATTATGGAGGTGGGTCCATCTGTTTTCTGCCATGCTTAACGTTATAAATAGGGTAGGTAGACCCAATTTTTTTATCATTGCGTTTAGATGAAGTTCTTTTTGATGAAAGTAGGTATCACCTGTTCGTACGAACGATGGGATGGGAATAGTTTTACCCTCATCTATTATATTACGTCTACCATATGAGCTGGGTTGAAGCAGATCTCTGGCAGTAAGGGGATCAGTGGGGGAATTCAATTGTGATTGTTTCAAGAGGCGTTGCGTGTTTTGATGATGCCTGAGTTTTTCTAGCTGGAGGTATGACCAATATGGCCAGTAATGGTGAATCCTCCACCTGGGATCGATATTCATTAGTCGCAACTTTATATATTTTCCGTAGGTCTCATCCCGGGTTTCAGCGTTTGTGGGAGAACGGGTCAATACGTCATGAAAATGACCTTTACCATCCGTAAATATATCAGGGAACAGTAAGGGTTCTAAGTTAGGATCGTAAGTTGATATCGGTATACGAGATGTATCGCTATCCTGAATGAACCCTGCCATCAATCTAGTATAATGGAAATCCTCATTATGGACCTCATCAGGAAAGTCATAGTTGGGTATAATTATTTCACATGTATTGACAGGAGGAGCGTCCAGGTCAGTTTCTGCATGTCTTGCTGTTGGGAAGGGACCATTCGATATTTGATTCTGTAGGGATGATATCATGCTAGCGTATGGTCGAAGGTACGGGTTGTTTTGAGATAACCATGTTGCAGCCTGTTGTAATGTTTCGTCACGGGTTAAATGATGTGTCATATTATTGTTACCACCATTCTCACTAGGTTCAAGAAAAGCGCCCAATATGCCAGAATAGAGTGCGTGCGCTCGAATGTTACGTGAATAGTTCATGGTTCCAGTTAAAGATCTGTATTCTGAGTACGGGTTACTGTTGGGAGTCCTTCCCAGAGAACAGTGTAAGTAAATTGGGGATAAATACTTTCTTTTGTGTAAGGGAACCGAAGTTATTACTTCTGGGATGGGAGAGAGGTGCGGAAATGAGAACCTTGTAGTAGGGTTCTTACAGGATGCGCAAATCGGAACTCTGAGTTCAGTGATCCGGGTAACATTCGGATTAAAAGACAAGGAAACGGTAGGAATATTTCATTGTAAAGGGTAAAGAGTTGATGGGTTGTAAAATTCCCAAGAAGCCTTCTCAGGGTATAATAGCCTTCCGCAATAAACACAGGCGATTCGAGGCCATTGGGAGAGAATAGAGTTATTAAATCTATCATATAGTCTTTGGTATTTGGATGAAGGTCTCCAATACGATATAGGAGGAGGGGGGGTTAAAAGATTATTTGTTGAATCTGTTAATAATGGAGGGTTAGCGTCATCAGGTATCAAAGATAAATCTACGAGTGTTTCATATTCATCGTCGAACGTGTATATGTTGTGAAGTTGATGGGTCATTTTTATTGAGAACTTAGTTATATTTTTTTTTGTATTATTTTTACGACATTTTGAATTTATTGTATGATATTTATAAGACAACGGGAGAGGCGAAAAGCCCATCACAATTTTTGATTTAATAAAATCTCCCTTTAATGGTTAAAACTCAAACAATTATAAATATTTAAAGTGAAGTAACGAACAATAGAATCATCAAAATTTCAATATAATCAAAAGTTGCGCACTTTTATTTATTTATTAATTAACAAATACAGGGCGGAATTAAAAAGTATAAAAAAATATCGTAAAAAAAAAAAAACGTGAAGATGATAAAAAGAAAAATAAGAAGAAAATATTCTCGTCCAAATAGATCATTCTTCCTGATTTTCTTGCGGAGGATCCATTTCAGTCGTTTCATCCGTGTTTAAATTCATTGACGGAATAGGATTCGCTTGAAGGGCTGATGCGAGAGACTGATTTCTCGTAGGATTCATTTGAGCTAAAGTCACCCGACCTCTTCTTGGGGATCTGGGTGTGGCTCCTCGGGGAGTACGAGACGATCTGCTGCTTGACTGCGAGTTGAGCCATGGTACGTTCAGGGTTTGGTTGGAGTTATTGTTTCGATTATTCGAGATTAATGAAATGTCCTCTAGTTTCAAGGCGTGTTTGCCGGGAATGGTTTCCTCCTGCGATACTTCGTCGATGACTGGGGGAACATAGAAAATCACGCCTACCAACATCACAGTTGTTGACCTCATGGTTTGATTTATTGAATTCGTTTTGTTCTCGAGGTACCTCAAATTAGGATCATGGAACACCTCTACCCAGAATTCGCGAGGTTCCTTATCCCTATGTTTTCTTCAACATAAAATTCAAGGACTGATTTCCCGTTCACATTTTTAACAGTCTTAGTTGTTATCCCCAAGATCATAACGTTTAGTCCAATGGAGGGTATGGTATCGAAATCTATATTTTGCATCACTTTAATCGAAGTAGCATTGATCTTAATTTATTATAAAGTAATAAAAAAAAAGATGTCAATTATTTAAAATTAAAATTATCATCTAAATATAGAATCTCAAGACTAATTCCTTACCGAATAGTATCCTGAGCATGTGATGAACTTTCCCTTTAAAAAAATAATGTCGCCAGTCTCAAAATCTTCTATTTGAGTCTCGAAGGTGTTGTCTGAGGGGATAAAGGCTTTAATTCTTAAGTAGAGAACTTTGGTTGGATCTTGATCATCCAATCTAGATACGGCAGTGATATCCTTTATAGTAAAATCCTGGGTTAGATGTTCCCTAGATTCATGAACATAACAGACCGTAGATAGTTTCGCAGGCATTATTTTTTTTTTTTATAATTTTTATTACGTAAGTCAGATAGTTAAATCAATGAAGGTAAATATACAGAAAGTATAGCCAAATTTTAAAGAGTTTTATACCTTTTTTTTCTGATCAGGAAAAAGAAAGAAAGAAAAAAAAAAAAATATGTCAAGACTTCTCGAACTTCCACCCAAGCCTTACATTAGATAATTTTTTTTTTTCGTTATTAATTAATTAAGATAAACTTCGCCATAATACGATTTTTTATCTCTTCGTATTTTATCCAAAATCATCATATAAAAAAATAAATAAATTTCTACCATTCATATTATATGCATTATTTTACGGAAGAAAAAAACAGTCCGACGGACCGTCATTTTTCACCGCCATAACGGATATTTATTATTATATATAAAATATAATAAATTAATCCCAAAATGTCAATCGCACCGTGTTTCACAACCTAAGCCATTTCATAATATATAGCCCCAACAAAACATGTGATCAAGAATGCCGATCAATCAATTATGAAGTGGCTATTATCTAATATCTTAAATCTGATTTCTTATGCATTATTTATTTATTACGGGAGAAAAAAAACAGTCCGACGGTCCGTCATTTTTCACCGCCATAACAGATTATTATTATATATATTTTTTTTTATATTAATAAATTTTAATAAAAAAAAAAAATATATAATAATAATTTAAGAATAAGCCACAGTATTAATAAACCATCACACAAAAAAAAACCTGCATATATAAATAAACCATAAGTACGCTTGGAGGGAGGGTGGGGTGACATAATCCCTACTATATATTGGTAAATGGTAATCGAATAGATTTCCGAATCTAATAGATTAGGAATAATATACTCTAAGAACTAAGAATAAATTTCACAACTAAAAATTTTCCTAATTCGTGTATGTAGATCCAACCAAAAAAGAATAAACATTGCAAGTGTTTTGATGATCTCTGAATCAGGAACTTTAGGGGAACTTATATTTATTGTTAGAACCTCGCATTACATTCATATTACGAGTACAACAGTGCACAAAAAGACTGAATAGGAAAAATTTATGACTTGTTTTTTATACTAAGAGAATAATATTTAATATATATAAACTTATACTTACCTTAGGAATCGAACCAAGGACCTGAGGCACTTATTTTTCGTGATCTAATCACTTAGACTATTTAAACTTTTAATTTATAATATATATGTTTTTGACTTATTTAAGTTGAAACCATTAAGCTAATACTAATAAAAATGATGACCCCTTTAAAATTCGGTTATAAGACAGTATTGTCTGGTTACTGTCTGAAATCATGATAACGTAAAATTTACGATTTTGACCGGGGATAGTCACCGGACTACCTAATAATTTAGTGATGAGTTACGTTTTAATCATTTCAATTTCAATTACATAATACAATCTTTATATGGAGACTATTCTAAACGTCAGAAAAATTTTTTTGATTTACAGATTACAAAGTTTTTAAAAAAAATTGTTAGAATTAAATAGTAATATATATTATTCATATAGAAAGAATAATATTTAAGAATTATTAAATTTATGGATTATTAGTTTTAATGATGAATAAAAGTCAGTAAGTAATATAGTTATGGACATTTTATTCCATATTACAAATTTGCAATATAATAAATTAGGAACAACTGAAATTATTATTCTTATCATTACTTTATATTTTAGTTTTAGAAAGTTTTTATTTAATTATAAATGAATCAAATAATAAGATAAATGAATAAATACATATAAGTTAACTAATAAGACCAGTATAACTTAAAATCTTATTTATCATTATTTCTATTCCTACTCTTCTATTTTAACATTATATTTTATAACTTTATCAAATTACTTAACCAAAATTGCAATTTACTGATTATTGAAAGCAAAAAAAGGAAAAACAACCTCTTTTAAAACACAATAAAGTTTAAATTTGTAACTTTCCAATTTCCATTGAAGGTTAATGATAATTAAAATTTTAAACTACAATGGCGAAAAAAACTAAAAAATATAAAAATGTTAAAATTCTAAAATTTTACAATAACTAAAATATGGTTATAATTGGTCTAAGATTCTTCTTTGCCTTTAGATTTGCTATTCTGGTCTAAAAAATGAACAAATAAATAAGTACTGTATAATATACTTATAATAGCACTGTTTTTTATTTGTATTTAAGAAATAATTACCATCTTTATTAGTATTCAGTTGAGAAATATCAATTTGTAGTGATTCTATTTAATGGAAAGAAATTAATGTTTTTATTTTTAAATAATAGTCTGGATATTTTTTTATTAATCAATACCTAAAGAATTCATACTAATCATATTATCATTTTTTTCGTAAGAATCATCAGAATTATCTTGTTCAGGAAAATTATTATTATCAATTTTTTCAATTTGTAAGAATTCTATTTAATGAATTAAAATTTATTAATATTTTTATAATTATAATAATTAATTTTATTAATTTTTTTTTAAAAAATATACCTGAAGATTCCATTATAACATTATCATTCTTTTCATAACTATTATCAGAATTTTTTAGTTCAATAGAATTGTTATTTTTCGATTGAGAAATATCAATTTGTAAGGATTCTATTTAATAATTAAAACCTTATTAGTATATCTTATAATTGATATGAAATTTTTTTACTAATAAATACCTGAAAATTTAATGCTAATTATATTATCATTTTCTTCATAATAATCATCAGAATTTTTTGGCTCAGGAAGATTACTAAAATTAAGTATTCTACTGGTATAAATTGCTTCTGAATGTGTTTTATATGATATTCCTAGACTAGTAGTACTATTAAACAGTGATTTTTTATTAATTATTTCTGCTTCTTTTATTTGATTATTTATCTTTGTGGATTTAAAACCATAGTATGATTCACTAAACCAAATGCTTAAAATTTTTTCAATTCCCCCTGCTTTTGGTCGATTTAATGGATTTGCATCCAAGCATTTTTTGATTAGATGCACAATCAATTGGGGTACTTTAATATTAAACCTTGGTCTAAGTCCTTTACAAATTTTCACTACTAAATTTATATCATGGCCTATATCATAATATGGAGGCAATCCAGAAATTACTTCATACATAATTATACCAAAACTATAAATATCTGCAGCTTTGGTATAATTTTGTCCACGTAAAATTTCAGGTGCAATATAAGGTAAAACACCATATAATTTGTTTTTTGCATTCTCTGGTACATTATAGTCTGCAGGTTTACATAATCCCATATCAGTTATACAAGTGTGATTTTTAAGCCTTAATATATTACCAATATGCAAATCTCGATGAATTAATTCTATTTCATGTATATCTCTAAGTCCATGTGCAATTTTATGTAAATAACTGATCTTATTATTCCAATTTAAATAATTATATTTTATATCTAAATAATTTCGTAAATTCCCATGCTCTGCATATTCCAAAACCATAATGTAATTTTTTTCTTTTGGATCTTGAGTTATTCCATAAAGTTTAATAATACATTTGTGCGAATTTACTTTGTAATGTAATGTAATCTGTATATTTATAAGTATTAATAACAATAAACAAATAATTTATTTTGGGTAATAATTGACTAATTTACCTCATTCATAAATTCCAATGTAACATTTTTTGAATTATTTAAACTTTTCAAAGCTACGACCATGTTTTGATTCTTTCTTTTCCGATTTTGATCATAGTAATCCCATTCGTCTATATAACCATCAATCCATTTTGCTCTATATACTTTTCCAAACCCACCTTTTGCAATATATTTAATATCATAAAATCTATCATAGGGTATCCATTCTAATATATTATTTGTACATGATTTTTGAACATCTTGTATAAATTTATCGATGTCATTATTACCACTAGTCCAATTTTTGTAATTTTGTTGAAAATATATTGAATTACACACTGTATTACATTTTTTACATATATCATTCAAAACCATCATAAAGTTCTTAGTTTCTGGGTCTTGAGTTATTCCATAAACTTTATTAGACACTGCAATCTACAATATATTAAAAGTTAGAAATATTAGCAAAAATTCACAAATGACCATATACAATGTGATTAATTTATATTATAATTCACAAAAAAATGAAACTTTTGATAAATTTATTATACCTTATTCATAAATTCTAGTATATTACTTGCTGGGTTATTTAAAATTTTCAGAGTTACAATCATATTTTGACCTCTTCTTTCCCACTTTTGTTTATTCCACATATGTATATATCCATCAATCCAATTTGCTTCGTACACTTTACCAAACTCATCATCTTCCGCAATATATTGAATATCATAAAGCCTATCATAAGGTATCCATTCTAATGCATTTTTTACACTATAATAAGTATGTTCAGATAGCTGATTATCTTGGATTAATTTATCAATATCATTATTACCACTAGTCCAATTTTCAAAATTTCGTTGAAAATATATTGAATTACACACTATGTTACATTTTTTACATATATCTTTCAAAACCACCATAAAGTTCTTAGTTTCTGGATCTTGAGTTATTCCATAAACTTTATGAGATACTGCAATCTACAATATATTAAAAGTTAGAAATTTAGCAAAAATTCACAAATGACCACATACAATGTGATTAATTTATATAATAATTCACAAAAAATGAAACTTCTGATAAATTTATTATACCTCATTTATAAGTTCTGATGTAACACTTGCTGGATTATTTAAAATTTTCAGAATTACAAACATATTTTGACTTTTTCTTTTCCTATTTTGATTATTTTTATTCCATTTATATATATAACCATCAATCCAATTTGCTGTGTACACTTTACCAAACTCATCATCTTCTGCAATATATTCAATATTATAAAGTCTATCATAAGGTATCCATTCTAATGCATTTTTTACAAAAGCTGTATGCTCTGATTGCTGAGTATTTTGAATAAACTTACAAAATTTTAAAAATTGGACTAGTGGAAATTATCATATTGATAAGTGTTT